ACCAGCACGGAGAAGCATATCTGAACAGGAAACATGCTTGTGAATGGATGCACAGTTAAACAGATGATCGCACAGAGAGGGAGGACAAACATTGCATTCATTGGGTCAGGGAGTGGAAAAAACGTGGGTTTCCTGTTTACGCTGAGAACATGTAGGGAAAGTTGTCATTATCCTGGATCTTGGGGTTTAGTTTGGCAAGGCTTCTGGGAGCAGAGGAATTTTAAAATTTAGAACCATATAAGCTTAGATATTTTACATCTGGAAAGGATTATGGGCATATAGGTCACCTCCCTCATTCTAGACATTGGAAAACTAAGGCCCAGAAAGGGAAACTAGTTTCTCCCTGTTTTCTACTTAATCAGTGGATGAGCTGGCACTTGATCCAACTCAAGTCTTCTGTCTTCCAGGCTGATGTTCTTTCCACTAGGAATTTCTAAGCATTTTGTACCCAAATCCTCTTTCCTCCTCCTACCCCAAGCAACCACTGTCCTACATTCCATGTTTGGAAAGATTTTATCTGCCAAAGTGCTTGTATGAATGAGTAATTAACTAGTGACCCATTTTCATCAATGAAAGACACAGATACACCAATTAGACTTTCAGATCAACCTAAGATCTAATCAGTGTTAAAAGAAAAATTTCAGACAAGTTTAATTTAACAGAGTTGCTTAAGCAAAGAATGATTTGTAAATCTGGCCGCCGTCAGAACCAGAAGAAGTTCAGAGAGCTCTACTCCACAACGTAGGCAGCATTTAAGGATAGAAAATGGAAGTGAGGTATAGGAACAGCTTGCCTGGTTCACCTTGGTGGGTTTGCCTTACAGAACAGGGTCTGATGTGTTAGCTGCCTGTGAGTGCTTGAAGCTTGGCTGCTGTGATTGGCTGAGACTCGGCTGTTTGTTACAAAAGTACACCTCTGAATTGGGCTTTCAGTTAGTTATGTTCCAAGTTAGGTTGCAGTTCATTATATAAGGACTCTACCCACTAGACATCCTCACACCAAATTTAGTTTAATTTAACACCAGGTTACTATATTAATAAAGAAGCTCAAAAATACGGTCTCAACTTGAGTTTTTAAATGTCCAAAAGGACATTTAGCTCCCTCCTCCCTGTGAAATTGTTACCTTCCAAGACCCCTTAAAGGCTTATTAGAGAACCCAGGTTGGGAATTACTGTCCAGCATCATGCTACTTGGGGTTGTTGATGTCCCTGGTATACAAACGTCACTCTAGATGTAGCACCCAGGGACCTAACTTCCATCCTTCTCTCCCTCACCATTCAGAGCTCCCATAATGCTCACAATAGTCATGTTTATATAAACTGTTTCAAGAATAAAATAGAATGATAATACCTTTTATTCTATACCTTTTATCAATCAGATACGGTCTTGAACGTAAATTGAGTTTAACAACAACAAAAAGATATTTTAGATAAATGGCCGAAAGAACTTGACCAAACTATCAAATAAAATACTGGCAAAAGAATGTAACACATAGAAATTAATTTCTCTTCCTAACTAGATAGGATTTACCGCATACCCTGAACCCAGACTTATCCCAAAGATTTTCATTTCATGGCTTACTTAGAAAATGATCAACTGAAGTTAAAGTGGTAAAATTGAAGAACCTGCTCATGGTTCCTAGAGGCACTTGGCCTTCAATCTGAAGGATCAGTATCTTGGTGCTGCTATAACCTTTGCAGTTCACTAGTTGGAAAGCTCCAAATTAAAATGAACTGGAAGAATACTAAAAATCTCAGGATGATCTCAATACTGACAACAAGGGCATCAATGCAATCCAACTTCTATTTCTGATAAAAATCTTAGGGAAGAAAGCGTTCAAAAAATGTATCTTTAAAATGTTGAGTGAAACCCTTAATTGAGACCCATTCATTTGAGTGCCTTTGGTGATGACATCCACAGCATGAATATGTCTGTTCTCTAGTTGCTGCAAGGGTGTCTCTGCCTCGGGAGGCATAGTCCACTGCCCAGCAGCAATAGTTGCTGTGCTACACTCCGATAAAAGCCTCTTGAGTCGTCCTTGTGGTCTGAGGGAGACAATGAGAGGGGCGCCATTCTCGTTCTCGGTCACTATAAGCAACTGGACAGTCCAGGAGTGTGATCAGTCCAGACCTGTCTGTGTGTTGGCTCTGCCATCCAAGCACACATTAGCCCAGACCAACCACAGCAGAGTCACATGGGACACAAACGTGCCCCTCTAAGAGGGGACCCACAGAGCGCCCAGCCTCGGCCCTCCTTGTGATAAACTCAGAGAATCAGCCGCTTTGCCCTGCTTGAAAGCTCAGTGGTGTGAGTTCATCTTTATGTGAACCACTCGCCCTAACAAGAGGCAAAAATACTACCTCTCCACAGCCCTCCTCTCATCACTGCAGAAGGGCTCAGTCCTTGCAGGCCGGGCTCAGACTCAAAAGTCTCCCAGCTTATGGAGAGTTCATTTGCACTTTAGAGAGAGGAAGGGAGCGGCCTGAGCCACACACTGCCGCCCTGCTCCCCTCTGGGAATGTGGCTAAACCTCTGAACATCACAGAGGGGGTGGTCTCAAAGGGGCACTTGGGTTTCTACAATTCAGGCCGGAACCATAAATGGAAACTCTTATTGGCTTAAATTGTTTACAGGCCAGATGAGGCAATGAGGGCTTTTCATGGTAGAATTACCCAAAGTATTAGCTCTTATGGAAGGAGACCTCAGAGTTTCCCCCTGTATTATTACCTTAGCACAGATGGACCCCCATTAAATGTAATTAGATGGAGAAGTTCACTTTGTCATAGAAAATGGTGATTATGCAAATGTAGGCCAGGCTATTAGAATGTGTTTCAGGTTTGGAAAATTGTATCCTTCTCCTCCCCATTGGATTGGCCTACAGTTAGAAATTCTTGAGCCTCCGGGGAGTCCAGGTTGATGAAAGTTTGCACAAACCAGACATACTTCCTCCCTCCCGGAGCTTTGATTCCAAATTGCATTCCTTAGAGGTGTCTTTGGGACTGCCTGGTGGGGGTGGCGCCAGGGTGTTGGATCAGAATAGCTCCTCTTTTATTTGTTGAATATACTGGGCTGCGGAGCAAGCTTTATTTGTAGAAAGGATTGCAAGCTAAAAAAATTTTGAAAATCACTACCCTAAACCACAGGTTATTCCTGTGAATGACGGTGCTTATGTTTTAGATTCCCCCAAACTGTTCTTTTTTCCTGATTGAATTTTTTAAAAATTGTAAGTCAGGCAATAGGAGGTATATATGGAAAAGATTCAGCGCATCTCATATTCCCTTCCCATTCTGCTCCTCTGGAGATAACCAGCATTGCTCATCCCCTTTCTTGTCTGTGCTGATATCCTTTAAGCATTTTTTATTGCAAAAAATTTTCAAAAATAAAGAACAGTTGAAAGTTAAAAACAGGTTGCCAAGTAAGTAGTACTCTTGTATCCCTATCACCAACTTCCAAGAATTACCAAAATTTTTACATGTGCTTAATCTATCTTTTCTTTTAGTATATGTTTTTGCTTTTTTTTTTTTTAATCCAAAAATAGCCTCATAGTATGCATACTACTTACTTGGCAACCTGTTTTAACTTAATCTGTCTTAAAAACTATTCCATATCAGCACAGTTACCTCCTCTTGCCATGGCTACATAGTTTTCCATTGTATACTTGAACCATCACTTACTCAAACATTCTCCTATTATTCAGGCTATTTCCAAAATATCTTTGCCACCTCGTAAATTGCCACAGTAAATATTCTTGCACAGTTTTTACATATTGGTGTTTTTATTTCTGTAGTATAGATTTCTAAAGGCAAGATGGCAGATCATAGGCTAAGCATGTTTTAAGTATTATCTAATGTTATTAAGGGTGTAGATATTCAACCTCCTACCAGAAACATATGAATATGTCTACTTCGCCATATCCTCCGTGGCCCTGCATATTATGGCTTATTAAAAATATTATTGTATGCACTCTAGCCTAGCAACAGCAAGACCCTGTCTCAAAAAACAAAAAGTGCACACAATGTGTAGCTCAGTGGTTAGGGCACCAGCCACATGCACTGGAGCTGGTGGGTTTGAATCTAGACTGGGTCTGCTAAACACCCACACACACAAAAGCTGGGCATTGTGGTGGGCACCTGTAGTCCCAGCTGCTCTGGAGGCTGAGGCAAGAGAATTGCTTGAGCCCAAAAGTTTGAGGTTGCTGTGAGCTATGATGCCATGGCACTCTGCAGAAGGCAACAAAGTGAGACTCTGTCTCAGTAAAAATAAATAAGTAAAAAATGAAAGTATTGGGCGGCGCCTGTGGCTCAGTGAGTAGGGCGCCGGCCCCATATACCGAGGGTGGTGGGTTCAAACCTGGCCCTGGCCAAACTGCAACCAAAAAATAGCTGGGAATTGTGGCGGGCACCTGTAGTCCCAGCTACTCGGGAGGCTGAGGCAAGAGAATTACTTAAGCCCAGGAGTTAGAGGTTGCTGTGAGCTGTGTAACGCCATGGCATTCTACCGAGGCCAACAAACTGAGACTCTGTCTTTAAAAAAAAAAAATTAAAATACAAGTATTATTGTGTGCACTCTAGCCTGGGAACAGATCAAGATCCTGTCTCAAAAAAACAAAAAATGTACACTATCCGGTTGATGGGCACGCTTAAAACTTTGACTCAAACTGTACAAAAGCAATTCATACAACCAAAACATTTGTATCCCCTAATATTCTGAAACAAAAAATATTAAAATAAGTTTAAAATACATACAGCAAACATAAAAATTAATATGTTAAAAAGAAAATAAGACAGGTTTGAGGCTAAAAAATATTATGCATCCTTTTTGTGAAGAGACAGGATAAAGTTGATTTTTTTGTGTGTCTGTGAATGAATTCCTGTTCCTCATTAATATTGTAAATTACAGCTTTGCAATCATTATTTGAGGAAAGACAGCCATTAGGAATGTCTGGGATAGAGGGGAAGCGGGAACTGTCTAAGACCAGCCACTGCTCTTTGTTCCCCAAGTTTGCACAGAGGAAAGGTGCTGGCCGTGTGGTGCACATCTGCAATCTCCCTGAAGGCAGCTGCACCGAGAATGACGTCATTAACCTGGGGCTGCCCTTTGGAAAGGTCACTAATTACATCCTCATGAAGTCGACTAATCAGGTAGGTTTGGGCACTTTCACTCCGGTGTGTTTCACCAGTGATCACACACTGGTGAAAAGGAATTATGTAATTTTTTTTGGGGGGGGGGGTGTGTTTCAATCAGTTACAGCCAATCTTTCTTCTTATTTATTTATTTATTTTGAGACAGAGTTTACTCTGTCGCCCTGGGGTTGAGCACCATGGCGTCATCATAGCTCACAGTTACCTCAAACTCTTGGGCTCCAGTGATCCTCCAGCCTCAGCTTCCCATGTAGCTGGGACTACAGGTACCTGCCACCACGCCTGGCTAGTTTTTCTATGTTTAGTGGAGACGGGGTCAGGCTGGTTTCAAACCCCTGTGCTCAGAGGATTCACTTGCCTCAGCCTCCCAGAGTGTTAGGATTATCAGTGTGAGCCACCACACCTGGCAGAATTATGTAATATTTCTTAACATAGAGAGGTGATATATAGCTGGCCTTCTGTTGGCGTGGCACAGAAGTTTTTGTGGGTGATACTGTTTTGTTTCTCCTCCTTTCACCCTACCCTTCTTATGATGGGTACAAGTCTTTATGAATTGCCTCAACTGGAGGGCAGGTACTTTGGAATGTGGCACTTATTAACAAAGAAAACTAATTGGTTCCCAAAATACAAACCTAAAGACTTGAGTCCTTCACTGTGTTGCCAACCCCCTGAGCTAATAATGCTATGGTCTTATCTTCTTAGCTTACCATATATGGTGGCCTATATTTTGAGCCAGCCAAGAACCTGGGACTGAGTATTTTTACTGGTCCTTGGTGTCAGTGAATGAGGCCCTTGGATCTGCCAGCAGAGAGGAGGTGGAGACTAAATATATTTGCCCTCATTTTTAAAGTCAGAGAGGGGGAATTGATACCCACAATGGTCAGAAACAAGAATATTTTCTCTTTTATTTTAACAAATATTTTTACTTTATGAGTCAGAGGAATAGGCATGGGAAGAATTTTTTCTTAATGAAGGAGACTCAAAGCCATGTCAGAGCCTCAGTAGTCTCCCTCCGTCAGCCTGGGGCTAGATGGCTCAGTCTCTGTTCCTGCTTCTCAGAGTTCAGCTTGCAACATTAATGTGGTAAGATTCCCTAGCTGAGGCTCAGCGCCTATAGCTCAACCAGCTAAGGCGCCAGCCACGTACACCTAAGGTGGTGGGTTCGAATCCCCAGCCCGGACCCGCCAAACAACAATGACGGCTGCAACCAAAAAATAGCCGGGCGTTGTGGCGGGCGCCTGTGGTCCCAGCTACTTGGGAGGCAGAGGCAGGAGACTCGCTTGAGCCCAGGAGTGGGAGGTTGCTGTGAGCTGTAATGCCACAGCACTCTACCCAGGGGGACAGCTTGAGGCTCTGTCTCAAAAAAAAAAAAAAGATTCCCTAGATGAGTAGTAGTCCCATTTGACATGTGAGAGCTAGAGGTGCTAAAATGTTTATATCGAGAAAGAGGTGCTTAGAAAGCTGGGTGGCAGAATTTGAAATAAAACCTTTAAGAATCTTGACTTCTTAGTTGCCCACACTTCTGCCACTGACTGGGACAGGACACAGAGAAGCAGGGTCTGAAATGAAGAAGTAAAGGTGGAGGAAGGAGGGGAATGAGCTCGTCTAGCCTACACAGTTCAAGGAAATAGGAGAACTGGGGGCTCAAATTAGGGCTCCCCTGGCACAGACCACTTTTCCCTCTCAACATAGAGGGGCCAGAATCAGTACCTCATTAATAGAGTACAAACCAAACAAACCCAAGAAACAGTAACAGCAATGAATTCACCATAGCCGCTACTGGGGTAAACTGACAGGTCCGTCAAAACAGTCTATTTGGAAACTCTGTAGGCACAGGTGGAATGGAAAAGCCCATTTCTCTGCAAGTGTTTTGTCAGAACAGTTAAATAAATAAGAAAGATACTGTGGAACCATAACGGGGGTGGGGAGGGCGTTCCCTTCACTTTAACTCATGACATGGCCTTCTTTCAAGCCTAGGAGTTTGCCAGCCCCTGAGTTTTGGGGGAGGTTTTTTGTTTTTTTGTTTTTGTTTTTATGAAACAGAGTCTCACTTTGTCGCCCTCAGTAGAGTGCCCTGACATCATAGCTCATAGCAACTCCAAACTCTTGGGCTGAAGTGATTCTCTTGTCTCAGCCTCCAGAGAAGCTGGGACTACAGGCACCGGCCACAATGCCCAGCTATTTTTAAAGACGAAGTCTCACTCTTGCTCAGGCTGGTGTTGAATCGGTGAGCTCAGGCAATCCACCCGCGTTGGCCTCCCAGAGTGCTGGGATTACAGACGTGAGCCACTGTGCCTGGTCTAGCCCCTGAGTTTTCAAATATGTTTCTTTCTTTATAAGGAAAGTAAGAACTCAAACCACCAAGGTTTGTGTTTCTGTCTCTTGCTGTCACCACTACCAAACAGCAAGTTTGCTAGGATCAGCTCCCCCTGGAAACTGTGGGTTCACAGACCTATCACAGAGTGGCTTCCATAGCCTGATACAGCCAGGAGGGATGTTTAAGAATGATGTTTTGTACCCATGAGACTCAGGAGACGGGCCATCTTATAATGAGCTCTTTTGGTGAATGTAAAAATGTCTCTTTGAACATTTCCTTTTAATTGATGTGGGAAATATATTCTAGGGGGTATAAAGTACACCGATCCTAAGTGTACAATTCCTTTCATTTTTTATATGCATACACCCATATAGTTAATACCTAAGCCAAGATATAGAACATTTCTAGAACATCAGAAGGTTTCCTCAAGCCTCTTCACAGTCAGTACCCCACCCCACCCCAGAGGGAAGCTCAGCTCTAACTTCTATCATCATTTATTAGCTTTGCCTGTTCTTGAACTTCATATACATGGAATTTTGTTTAAGATCACTAAAGTCAAGTCCAATATGTGTCCTTCCTTTCTTTCTTAGGCCTTTTTAGAGATGGCTTACACAGAAGCTGCCCAGGCCATGGTCCAGTATTATCAAGAGAAATCTGCTGTGATTAATGGTGAGAAGTTGCTCATTCGGATGTCCAAGAGATACAAGGAATTGCAGCTGAAGGTAAAGCCTTCTCTCCTCCACTCAGCCATTCAACAAGCATCAGCAGAGTCTTTCTTACTTGTCAGGCAATGACCTAAGTGCTGGTGGGAAGGAGAGAACAGGAAGAGATTTAGAAATCCCTCCCTGCCTTTCAGGATATCACGTCATTAGTGATGGCAAGTCATTACAACATGGCAAGAAAAATGCTCATGGAGGTAAACACAACATTCAGAGGGATGCTTGACACTGCCTGGCAGCTGAGGAAGACTTTTGAAGGAGGAATTCAGAAGGGGGAAGGTGGTTACTTTTTGGTAGTGGCAATTGCAGGCATAAACCCTTGACTACAACTTTCGACCTGTGCAGGCCTTCAGTAAGTTTTTCATCCTTTGTCACCCTGATTTATCTCTTGTTCTCTCCTCTCTCCGTTATTATGTCTCAAGCCAGTCCCATTCAAGTCCTTCTACTTAACTCAGGCCACTGTCAGAACTCAGGAATAAAATTAGATAATTCTAAACCCAACTTTGTTTTTGTTTTAGCTGCTCTACATTTCTTTCTTTGCTTTGCTTTCTTTTAAATCGTGAAGTATATTATGCATACAGAAAAGCGTACAATTACAAACTGTAAAATTTAAAAAGTCATGATAGGTGAGGTCTTATAAATACCATGCAACCGCCACCAAAGTCAAGAACTAGAATACAGACAGCAGAAGCCCCTGTGAGTCCCTGCTCGTGCTCAGCTTCTCCCTCTCCACGCTCTTGTTCAGGAGCATAATCATTTCTCAGCTTTTCCTTGTAGTGCTACCCCCTGTATGTGCCTTCCCTAAAAACTATAGTTTTGCCTGTTTTTAAGCTTTGTATGTATAGAATCATTCTTATAGATCTTCTTTTATTCAACATCATGTCATCCATGCTGTTGGGTGTGTCTATTTATTTTCATTGTTCTATGACATAAATTTCTGGTTTATGGCTGTGCAATTTATTTTTCCATTCTATTGTTGCTGGGCAGTTGGATGCTTCCAGTGTTAGGATATTAGGGACAATGCTAATGTGAACCTTTTCAGACATGTTATCCTGCTACCCGTGCACATGGGCACATAACTGGAGGTACGTAAATAATGAAGACTGGAATTGCTGAGTCACAAGGCATACTTACCCTCGACTTTACTAGGTGGTAGCAAGCTCTTTCTCATATTAGTTGTCCCAAATTTATACTACTACTAGTAGTGTATGAGAGTTTTCAGTGGCCCAGATTCTTGCTAACACTTTCTTATCTGACATTTTAAGACTTGCCTGTCTGTGGAGAGCACTACAATGGTTTATCATGGTCTTATTTTTTATTTTCCTGATGCCTCACCAATGTTGATTGCTTTCTCATATATTTATTGGCTGTTTGTCTAGATCTTTGATGGGAAGTTTCTTTTCAAATCATTTTCCCAGGCTTTTCTTTTGCATCATGTCTTCTCATTGGTTTGTAGGAGTTCTCTTAACTGGAACACTTAGGCCATTTGGATTTAGCGTAATTAGTGCTATAATTGTGTTGAAATCTACCCTCTTATTTTGTGCTTTCTACTGTCCTATTTAACAGAGATTTTTTCCAGTTCACCTCAGTTCATTCCATATGTACTTAGGGTCCATTTTGTTTAAGACTCATAGCCTTTAATCTGCCTTCAAGGTTGGAGTCAGAAGACAAAGTCTCAGTGGTTGTTTCCAGCTAGGACTAGTATTCTGACAAGTCTGCATGTGCAGATCGGTCCTATGTCAACCAGTTGCCAAAGACCTGATTCTGCTTTGCTTGCATTATTGCCTCTGAAGTTTCTTTGCCAACAGTTCTGCTTCAGGCAGAACCTGGCTTGTTTTTTTCTTCCCTAATGAAAGCATATTGCCTCTCACAGATGAATAAAAGCTCCTACCGCATTCTGTACCTAGCCAAAATTCCTGTTCTCCTGGATTCTCCCATGGGAGCTAGAATGGAGTTTATGCCTCAAGTTTCCAGTGGAGCTGGAGTGGTCTCTAAATGAAACAATGTGATACGTTTTTAATTAGAATAAACAGCAATAATCAGCTTCTTCTAGGATCAAGGCACGGTAATGCTTTACCGAGGTAGATAGTTTGGAGCAGTGGAAAAACTACAGATTAAAGAGGTCAGATAGTCAAGTTTGCATTCAGCAAATGTTCACTGACTGCGCACTGTGGGTGGAACTGGGCTGGGTGCCATGGGCACAGAGGGAGCAAGCTTATGAGGATCGTGGTTTGGTGGGACGAAGAACATGTAACATAGAACCATCAACAATCGTCACATGACCTAGGTCTGACTGGAGGGTGGTGATGCCAACCTAGGCTCTGCCCCTTCCTGCCTCGGTGAGCTGAGACACGTTGCTTAACCCCTGTGAACTCCAGCTTCCAGATCAGGGAAGAACGATACCCTGAGTTCTTTGGTTTTAAGTGTTTTTTCATGCACTGTCTTTTGAGTCTCATAATCACCCTGCCCTGTGAGGTGTGGAGAGTGGATAATAGCAGTAATTACACGAGTACGACAATCATAACAATAATATGTACCTTTAATTGAGCCCTGGTACTCTGCGGCGAGTAATGTACAAAGCACTTTACATCCATTATCTACTTTAATCCTGACATCAGTCCTGTCGCACAGGTATTATTACCCCAATTTTACAGATGAGGGAACTGAGGCTAACAGAAGTTCATCAGTAACTTGTCCATGATCATATTTAGTTACTGAAAGAAACATGATTAAAACCTGGGACTGTTTTGGTTTTTCCTTACCTTTGTGTCACGGTGTGTTATTGTGATCTCCACTGTCCACATGAAAAACAGAAGGAAATCAGGCAACTTGCTTCCCCAGTCAGGAAGCAGCAGAAGTAGGAGTCTAAGTGAGTTTCTCCAGCTTCCATATGCCCACAAGTTACTTGGGGGGTCTTGTTGAAATACAGCTTCTAATTCATAAGCCTGGGGCAGTGCTGGGATTCTGCATTTCTAACAGGCACCAGGAGCTGATGCTGCTGGTCCTCAGAGCACACTTTGAATAGGAAGTGTCTAGAACACATTGTTTTCTGATTTTAGTAAGGGATTTCTGCTCCCTATGGCATTGTGCTGCCTCTTAGGGTCCTTGTGAAGGTCTCATGGAATAACATATGTGAAAGCATCTTAATGCACGTTGCCACTACATAGTAACATGTGCTTTGTGGTCCCTATGTTGATATGAATCAGCGGTCTCTGCAAGTAACAGAAACTCATCTCAATTAAGCGTATTGGCTTAAGTACAAAAAGGAATTTATCTGCTCCTGTAAATGAAAAGTCCCAGAGTAGCTCTGGTTACAGGTGTGGATGGATCTGAGGCCCAGGTGGTATCATGAGGACTTGGTTTCTCACCACTGTCTTCTCCCCTCTTGGCTTTGTTTGTTGGGGGCTCTTTGGGGCGGGCCTTAGCAGCCCCAGGCTCTCTCCTCTAGGTGGCATGATGGCTACAGTAACTTTACAAACTCTTCCTTTTTATCCTTCCATTTCATTCAACAAGAGAGAACTAGAGCTTTTCCTAGAAGCTCCTGCAAATTGGACTAACTTAGCCCATGCACATGTCCCTGAGCCAATCTCTGTGGCCTGGCGTGGGCTGTGCTGTGGTTGGCTGGGGCCGTATCATCTGCCACTTCCTCAGAGCCAGGGTAGAGACCCACCCACACCTCTGGAGCAAGATGGGGGAGGAGCAGCTGCTACTGGAAGGAGGGAGCTTGGCCATGGGGAGGTCAATGGTAAATACTGTGTCCGTGTGTGTGTGTGTGTGTGTGTGTGTGTGTGTGTGTGTGTCTGAGCCAAAGGGCCCACCATGCTGGGTCCTAACGGTGGGGAAAAATTTAATTGCTCTTTCTCTTCTACCTTTATCTTGTGATCACCAGGCAAAGTGCAGGGAAAGAAAATAGAGATTTTAAGGCATTTTTCATCTCTTCTTTTGAATATTTCCTCATGTACATACCGTGTCTTCCCACACACTTTTTGTGGCAGGGGTTCTATTCATCAAGGTATTTAGGGCACAGCCTTTCATGTAGTAGATGCTTGATAAATATGCAGAATGAGAGGGAAAGAGAAAGTCGGAAGGGACAACAAAACATGTGTGTTATTCTTCTTGCAGACCTGGACAAGAGGCTTGAAATCTTTTCTGGGTCTTTCCATAGAAACTTCTCCAAAAATTACAGAATTATACTGTACTTGCAGTATGTATGCAGTATGTAAGTAGAAGGGAATTGGAATAATTTTATTATTATTTTTAATTTCAAGTTAATGTGAGGGTATAAACAACCAGGTCACAATATTTGAATTTGTTAGGTAGAGTCCCTCTTGTAGTTGTGTCTCGGATCCAAAAAGTGTCCCACACACCTTTACATCGATTCCTAGTCACCAGAGAATTGTCAAGGTTTGGGATCCTCTTACTCGGAGATTCTCATTCAGGAGGTTTGGGGTAGGATTGAAGTTCCCCGGTAGTTCTAGGGGCAGAGGGCCTGATTTCAGAGCTACTGGTCTTGTGTGTTTCTTAGCTGCAGAGAGGGCCTCTGGCCCTAAGAAACAGTCCTGTGTGTGGTCCCTGATGCTCTCAGATGGGAAGATTAAATGGGTGAATAGGTGACAGAGGGTCTTCTCTTTAGAAGATGTGGTACTAACATTTAGCACACATACGAGACACAGTCCTTACTTGGGAAGAGTTTACTCTCTACCTGGGAAACAAGCTATTCTTGTGCAAAATCATACAAGATTTAAACATGAGTGCATAAGTAAGGGAGCTACTAAAAGTTCAGTGGCAAAAGGCAGTGTAACTTGGGAATGTAAAAACGGGGAGAGTTTCCTGGGCAGGGGAGTGAAGAAAAGGAGAATTAGCCTCACAGAGAGAAGGTCTCTAGGCAGAAGGGGTTGGGTGAGATCGGATGTGGAGGCTGGAAAGCTCAGTAATGTTGAGAACACTCAGGGCTGCTTTGATAGGATCTGACTCTGATGGATTCTGAGCTCATCTGGAAGGTTTCACCTTTTTCCCAGGACTCTTGAGGGATGTAAAATAGCTGTGGAGCCATCAAAGGGCATGAGACTCTCTAGCTGCTCCCTTTGTGTTGGCCAAGCACACTGTGACTTTTATCAGGGAAGCCTGCCATGCCCTGAGGCTGCCGGTGGATGCCAGATGGGGCTCATTAAGACACCTTTATAGGTTGAAAAAGTGAGTCTCCCACAGGCAACAAGCCCTGACCTGGGTGACCCACCAGCTGGGGGCAGAGCTGGGGCTGCTGCTCTTCCTGGGTTGAGATCCCAAGCCGTGCTGCATCCCTCTCAGCATGCAGCACTTTCTTAGGGCTGTGCAGGGCTTGGAATCTCACCCTTGTCTCACATGTTGACTGTGACCATTGTGGATGGTCCCTTGTGGGGTTGTTGAGCTACATCAATGTCATCATAGAATGGATGAAAAGATATGACATCTGGGACTTCAAAATAATCTGGGGGGGAGGAGGGAAAGGGAGTGAGGAGTACAGATGCAACAAGACTCATGAGAATTGTTGAAGATGGATAATGGATTCTTGGGGGTTTAACATATCATTCTCTACTTTTGTGTGTGTTTGGAATTTTCTACAATAAAAAGGTACCCCAAATTTTATCATAGACCTACTCTTCTCTCCCATTTCCATTCTTCTGAGATGATTACAGCTTTATTTCACCTGCCTCTTTTATACCTTTAACCATGGTCCAAGAGGAAAGTTGAGAGGATTTTTTTAGGGCTTTGAGAAATCAATTCTGTTATTTGAAAATCTTTGTCCGCTTATGCTTCAGTCTCAGATGGTAGCTGGAAGTTGGTCCAGAGAGCACCAAACTAATCAGCAATTACCACTTAAAACAGCAGGACTGACCCTCTGGTCCTCAGAAGGGTCACAATGCTGTGACCACTAGCCTGGTATAATATTCACAAACTGTTATATTCATTTTCTGCAGTTATATCTCTTCATCCCTCCCACCATTCATCTTAGAATAGGGATTAAGGAGCACCTGTCCCAGCTGTATGCAGATCAAAAACCTGGGGTCCCCTCACTGCGTTATGTCTACTCACCTCCAAATAAGCTGCCTTCTTCTACCCTGATTAAGTGATGAACAGCCTCAGCTGAAAGCCTGCTGGTTTGGAGTGGGGTGGGGTGGAAGGAGACATCTTAGGCAGCACCAGTCTTCTCTGCCTGGCCAATGTCCTCAGCTCAACCTTGGGCCTCTGCTTGTGGTCCAGTGCAAGCCATGGAAGTGCTAGCTGCCACTAGCACTTGGATGATCTGGTTACTTGTATGTCACTTTTATAGGGTCACTGGGTCACTTCTACAGCTCCAGTTTGACATTAGGGCCATTTTCCAAAGTCCCAAGGTGCTTTTTTAGTACTGGATGTGCTCCCCAGTACTAAGTTCCTGGGCTGTTTCTTGAACTGGGGATTGTCTAACTTCTTGACCTCCTGAGCACAGTGGAAGGAGTCATTGCCTCCTCTCTGGCTTTCTTGCCTTTTGCATCTCTAGCTGATTCAAACATTCTATATCTGTGTCCTAACCCTGACCTTGCACCCTGCAGCCTCAGGCAGCTCCTCCTCCATTCTTGCCTTTACTCCAGGCTCTTCCTAGGACAACCCTGAACTCAACAGTAACAGATAAGCAGCCAGGCTGCTCCAAGCACTCAGACTTCTCCAGTCCCAGGTGGATCCCATCTGTAAAATGAGATATATGGTGAAACCTAATGTTTGTGTGGCTCTTAAGATTTCATGATTCTTTATAAATGACATGGGGAAAAAAATAAGGATAAAAGAGAGGTTGATTCAATTTCTGAATAAAACACTATCAGGAGTTGACATTCTAGGCTCAGCGCCTGTGGCTCAAGTGGCTAAGGCGCCAGCCACGTACACCTAAGATGGCAGGTTTGAATCCAGCCCAGGCCTGCCAAAACAGCAATGATGGCTGCAACCAAAAAATAGCCGGGCATTGTGGTGGGCACCTGTGGTCCCAGCTACTTGGGAGGCTGAGGCAAGAGAATCACTTGAGCCCAGAAGTTGGAGGTTTCTGTGAGCTGTGATGCCATAGCACTCTACCCAGGGGGATAGCTTGAGGCTCTGTCTCAAAAAAAAAAAAAAAAAAAAAAAAAGAGTTGACATTCTAGACCAAGGGTTTTTTAATTTGTTTTTGTAAAAAAAATCAGGGCAGTGCCTGTGGCTCATTGAGTAGGGTGCTGGCCCCATATACCAAGGATAGCAGGTTCAAACCCAGCCCCAGCCAAACTACAACGAAAAAATAGACGGGCATTGTAGTGGGTGCCTGTAGTCCCAGCTACTCGGGAGGCTAAGACAAGAGAATCACCTAAGCCCCAAGAGCTGGAGGTTCCTGTGAGCTGTGACACCACAGCACTCTACTGAGGGTGACAAAGTAAAACTCTGTCTCTAAAAAAAAAAAAAATCAGCTTTATAGAAATATAATTTACATACCATAAAATTCACCCTGTTCAATACACGTTTATTCAATGGATGAATTCTGCATAGTCTTTTGGAAGATAACCCTGTCTTGCCTTTGTGTTCATGAATTTCTTAATCATTTATTTTTTACTCTTTTTTTGTTATTATTTTGTGCCAATTCTGGGTTTAGGAAAGGACTTTGGTTGGGATTTGGGGACTGGGGTTTGTCCTGTCATTTATTATTGACTCTTTTTTTGTTATTTTGTGTCAATTCTGGGTTTAGGAAAGGATTTGGGGACTGGGGTTTGTCCTGCCCTTTGGAATGATCTCTGGTCAGGGCAGAGCCTTTGGGTGCCCACCATTCTCAGCTGTGAAACAGGACTCCCAGCCTGTGTTGCCCAGCTCACAGGTTTACTGTGAGCATCAGCTGACACCTATGGAAAACACACTGGAGTAAGATGTTGAAGGAGGCGTAGGGATGGGAAGGAACTTGACTTAAAATGCCTGTTGCCTCATTCTGATTCTTTTATCTAACCCCATGACCTTGAATATGTCCCTTAATCCAGCACAACTCCAGGGGTCATCATTTGCATGGAACACGATGTGGCTGGTTACCCTGGAGCTGTGCAGGACAGAGACACTGCCTCCACCTCTCTGGGTCTCAGTTTCCACACATACATATAAAAGGTGACCTTCAAATCTCTCCTATTTTACAATTCCTTCCTTCCCTGTTTTCATGTTTAAACGTTTTTTATTCAGATGAAGGTGGAAATTGGGTATTATAAATCAGCACATGGACATGAACCCCAGGCTCCTTCCTTTCCCAGCTCCTTGGACTGCTCGGCGCTCTCTAGACTGCTCAGCCCTACCCCATCGAGCTTTATATTCACACTTCCCAGCCCTCGGATTACATGTTTTCCTTCCCCGTAAAAGAGACCTTTTCCTTATGGTGGACAGGGCAGTAAAACACCCGAGCTGCTTCCCTCTGATGTGCACGGCCAGCTCTGACCTGCTCTCTCTGATGGTCATCTCTCTGACTTTGCTAGAAACCTGGGAAGACCGTGGCTGCTATCATCCAGGACATCCATTCCCAGAGGGAGAGGGACATGTTCCGGGAAGCAGAGAGGTGAGGTCTGGGCCCTAAGTCTCAGGGAAGCTTCTGAGCAGTTAGAACCACTCCTGTTTCTCACTCTCACACCGTGTCCTGCCCTTGCTCCTGCCCCATCCTTCTGCCTTTCTGGGCCCAACCTTTCCATGTTCCCCATGAAAAGCACCAATCCAGTCCAGAAGTGCTACTTGGGTTAACCGTAGGAAAATTCAAGATGCTGGGCTTCCCCTCAGCTGCTTTGCTGGCAAGGAATATGGGAAAGGGTCTGTTAGTATTTGGCTCTTTAGGGCATGTCTCTGCGCTACAAAAACAGCCTCAAAATGTGGGAGAGAGTGTGTGTGTGTGTGTGTGTTGTGTGTGTACGTGTACACACATACACAAGTGCGGCTCTGTTCTGCCACCTGTTGATTTGTTATGAACTGAATATAGTTGTAGGAGAAATAACATAAGATAACCCCCCTGCAAAAGCCCAGTTACTTAAATGGTCACTCTGAACATTGAATATATTCAGTTTTTTTTTTTTTTTTTTGAGACAGAGCCTCAAGCTGTCCCCCTGGGTAGAGTGTCGTGGCATTACAGCTCACAGCAACCTCCAACTCCTGGGCTCAAGCGAGTCTCCTGCCTCAGCCTCCCAAGTAGCTGGGACCACAGGCGCCCGCCACAACGCCCGGCTATTTTTTTTTTGGTTGCAGCCGTCATTGTTGTTTGGCGGGTCGGGCTAGGGATTTGAACCCGCCACCTTAGGTGTACGTGGCTGGTGCCTTAGCCGGTTGAGCTATAGGCGCCGAGCCTATATTCAGTTTTTTGACACGTTTCTTCAACTGAAATTTGTGACCAGGCCAGTTTGGGGCTCCAAGTTGACCCCTGTCATGTCCCGGCAAAGATCCATCCTGTGGAGAACTGGTGGAAGCAGCAGGAGCTGGTGGGGGGTGGGGTGGTGGGGGGGACCTGGCCACACACCCTGAGGTGCTTACCCAGGGCTGCCTCAGGGGGCGCTGTAATCTTGCTGCAGAGAAGGCAGCCCTAGTGAGACACATGAGGTGTCCCTGGTCAGTGAGGGCTGCGTGACTTTCCTATATTTGGGAGCCAAGTGGAAAATGCTCATTTTTTAGAATGTCAGGTGTAAGATTCAGTTGACCTGCTAGATAACCAAACAGCCTTCTGAGTGTACATGTGTCTATCGTGTACGTAACTGTTCAAGCTTATCTGTCTTCTTTAAAAACTGAGGTTATTTGGGCCTTGTGAAGATGTAAGTAAAGCCACACGTGCCACCTGCAGTTGTGCATCAGAGTGGGAGAAATTAGGAGGTCTCACTCTGAATCTTAGTTTCATCAGGGACCTTTCTGGGTCTCCATTTCTTTATTTCAGACATGAGTAGAGTCCTAGGGTCTCTTCCAACTCTAAAATGCCTTCCTAATTCTTTGTTATTGGAATCTCTGAGCATAACAACCCCCCCCACCCCAGCCCCACCCCCGATAATTGGTGTTCTTCTCTGCCCAGAAGCTGAACAAATTGAGATTAAAAGTAAATGAGGAAAGTGGAGGCTAAGAGGTGACCCGATTCTGAGAGGCCAGCTGGAGGAGGCTTCAAGTCTCCCAGCCAAGAGGCCCACTGATTGTACCCCTGGGAGAGGCAGCCTCACCCTCAAAGCTGGCCCAGGGCAATCTTGCCCCCCAGTCCCCACCCCACACAGAGGAGGTCAGGGACCTGTCCCTGGCCACAGCTCCCTTTCCAAGAGGAAGAAAGACTGAGCTGACCCAAAGCCATCCAGCTACTCTTCCTGGTTCCCAGGAGCAGAATTAGTAAAGGGGCAGAGGGCCACCAGTAAGACACTTAGGGGAAAATGCTCCTCGTAGAAGCCAGGAGGTTGGACAGAGCTGCCTCCTGGGGCCACCTCTGTGGTTCTGGACGATTGTGAGTTAAGCATGCACACAGTTGCACTCACAGAATGTGTGCAGGAGAGACTGTGCACCAGCATCTGGGTTAGGGTGGGGTGGGTGGCTGTAACTTCTAAACACTGCCCCTTGCCCCTCCCACAGATATGGCCCAGAAAGGCCACGGTCCCGCAGCCCCGTGAGCCGGTCCCTCTCCCCACGATCCCACACCCCGAGCTTCACCTCCTGCAGCTCTTCCCACAGTCCTCCGGGCCCCTCCCGGGCCGACTGGGGCAACGGCCGGGACTCGTGGGAGCACTCGCCCTACCCCAGGAGGGAGGAGGAGCGAGACCCGGCCCCCTGGAGGGAGAACGGGGAGGACAAGAGGGACCGAATGGAGCCCTGGGCGCACGACCGCAAACACCATGCCCGGCAACTGGACAAGGCAGAGATGGAGGAGCGGCTGGAAGGAGGGAGGAGCCACCGAGAAAGGTACCCAAGGTCTGGGTCCCCCAACACGCTGCACTCTGCGTCCATCTACAAAAGCCGAGAAGACAGCTACTACCGGAAAGAACTCAAAGCCAAGTCGGACAAGCACCTGAAGCAGCAGCAGGACGCCCCCGGCAGGTCCAGAAGGAAAGATGAGGGCAAGCTGCGGGAAAGCAGACACCCCCATCCCGATGACTCAGGCAAGGAAGAAGGGCTGGGGCCAAAGGTCACTAGGGCCCCTGAGGGCGCCAAGTCCAAGCAGAGTGAGAAAAATAAAACCAAGAGGCCTGATAGAGACCAAGAAGGAGCTGATGATAGAAAAGAAAGAAAAATGGCAGAGAATGAGGTAATGATGCAATCTCTTCCCCAGGTAAGGTGAGGCAGGTCCCAAAGGAGGATAAGAATGCAATGATGATAAACATTTACTGAATGAAGGAACATTTATTCACTGTTTACTATGTGCCAGGCACTATACTAGACACTTTATTTCAATTAAGTCTTTTAATCCTTTCAGCAACTCTATGAGGAAACTGAGGCACAGAGAATTGAACATTATTTGTCCAAGGGCACACAATCAGGAAATGGCAGAGACAGAATTATACCTAGGCATTCTGGCTCCCTCCAAATTCCATGACACCTTCTTGTACTCACTAGAAGTTAGAGAAGCACGTCACGGAATGGCCTTCTGTAGACCTTGTTGTCCATGGGCGAATGGCCCTGGGTGTTTGCACAGATTCTGGCAAGGGAGATTAGATCTGTGGTCCACTCCATCCTCTCTCCTGCCAACAGCATCCATCAACCCTGGAGCTCCCATGAGAGGCCGTGAAGGAGCACCAACCACTCACTAAATTATATTGGTTGCCCAGGGCTTGGGTTGTTCTCTGGAGCAGTGTTTTTCAACTTTTCTTATCTCATAGCACACATAACCTATAGTTAAACTTCCAGAGCACATTTAAATTATGTTGATCAAAAAAAAAAAGTGAAAAAAAGAAAAGAATGTAGTTAATGTACTTTGAACTTTCTTGAAAATAATAATTTAATTGAAGTGCTGTGGCACACTGGTTGAAAAACACTGGTCTAGGCACTGTCCACAGTGTCTCACCTCTGCTTTAACAAAGGCACCTGGCAGTTGGCATTTTTGTTGCCAAATTGCCACATGAGCATCTGAAAGACTTAAGACCTGCTGCATCACTTCAGTTCACACAGGGTTCACAAGGTGGACTTGTTTTACAATTCCTTCTTGCCAGAGCTTCCTGCATTTTAGTAGAGATATAATAGTAAAGCTTTAGGGGTCTGCATAAAGAATGTAATTTTTAAAATCCTACATGTATATCTTCTAGGCCTCCTGATCCAAGAGTTGGTGACAATTATTATGTCTAAATAAGAAGCCCAATTCTCAACTCCATGAGCAATGAAGAGTCACTCTTTTGGCTACTACTTGAGCATTCATTCCTACATGCATGGGTGGAGTGACACTTTGCCAGGTGGGGTGATGGGCATAGAGGTTCAAAGGTGAATAGGAAGTGGTCCATGTTATGGCAAAGAATAAGGACTAATGGTGGAAGCAGGCCCATAAACACAATGGGAAATTACAGAGGGTGAGCTGCTCTGTGAGCAGTTATTAACTCTGCACAGTGAGAGGAAAGCTGCGTTGGAAGAGTTGACATTTGAGCTGGGTATAGAAAGTGGGAAACAAGCAGTTTGTAATTCTTGGTAGAAGCAGCAGTAAGGGTGAAAGTGAAAAAGAAAGACTGTTTTGAAAAACCTGGAAGTACTCTATGTGGCTTCTCCTTTGGGACATATTAAAGACTAATGTTTTAAAAATAGCAAAAGTGTGACTCTGCTGCAATATATAATGAATACATGTCAAAGCTTTTATTCCACTCATGAATCAATGAGAGAATCATAAGATGTAAAAATCGGCTCAAAGGAGAATGTAAAGACCAGCGAACATAAACCAGGGCTGTCCAGAAAGAGTCCAGCCATGTATATCTCTATTTTTCATATTACAACAGCCCTTATAAAGGCAATCGAGAGTGCTGAGTAAATTTGCTGAGAGATATAAAAAGGGCCCCTTCTGAGGTGGGCAGGGAATCAGTTGTGTCTCTAGTAGATGAAATTTATTTGTGTCTCTATGAAGAATCATTCGTATTACCTTGATCAATTTTCTGCAACTTATAGAGGTGTAAAATGGCTCAGTTCTGGATAAGGAAAGATGTGTGCCCCTAAAGAGTCAGATACCCTGGAAGGATATGCTAGACAGGTGCTCAGCTTTCCTTCAAAAGGGCACTCAGTAATCTCTTGTCCATTACAAAGTCTGCCAGGATTGTCCCCTAGTGGTGTAGGGGGGGGAATGGGGAGTGAAGGAGAGAGATGAGATAGGGACATGGGTGGGGCGGGGCATATAAGGACTTGACTTCCTGAGGACTTAAACTGGATCTGGGGACCTGGTGAACCCATGGGCATTTTTTTTTAGAAAAGTGTATTATTTCCTTGGAGGTGTCTGAGGTGCCAGTGATGGTTCCTCAAGGAAGGGCACAGAAGGACAGAGAACTGGCAGGGGCTCAAGCTGAGCCTTGTATGTGCTGCTGCCCTCTGTCCCTCAAGGCTGAGGGTGAGACTGCCCTCTCTCAACCTGCCTACACTTCTGAAACTCTTTAACTTCATTTCCCCTACTGCATTACCCACCCTTCTATCATTAGTATAACATTGCACATGTAAGATGACACACACTATGGGTCATCCTAAGAGCCCCGATGGAAAAAGATTCCCAGAAAGTCCCATCCATGGGTCCCCTCGATTCTGTCCCTTCAGTTGGTTTTGCCTCTTATGGCTTTAAAGTACAGACAGTGGGGACTTGCTGGGGTCCCCACAGAGTGTTTCTGTGGGTTTAGAGCCAGGCAGGCCAACTCTATGTATTGGAATAATAGTAGAACAAAGTGGCTCTGCACCTATAGCTCAACCGGCTAAGGCGCCAGCCACGTACACCAAAGGTGGCGGGTTCGAATCCCCAGCCCAGACCCGCCAAAACAACAATGATGGCTGCAACCAAAAAATAGCCGGGTGTTGTGGCGGGCACCTGTGGTCCCAGCTACTTGGGAGGCGGAGGCAGGAGACTCGCTTGAGCCCAGGAGTTGGAGGTTGCTGTGAGCTGTAATGCCACTGCACTCTGCCCAGGGGGACAGCTTGAGGCTCTGTCTCAAAAAAAAAAAAAAAAATAGTAGAACAAAGTTTTTCTTTTTCTTTTTCTTTTTTTTTTTTTATTGAATGGTAACTATGTACATTAATGCACTTCTGGGGTACAGTGTGGTGTTTTCACATACAATCCGAAACACATCAAACTGGTTAACATAGCCTTCATGTCATTTTTTATTTTTATTTTTGGCATGTAGCAAAATGTCTTTATTTTCTACTCCCCTTTATTGGGAGCTAATCACATACACCACATTGATCAATAATCCTAACATCCTCATTTCTTATCTTAAACTATAGAAAAGGAAGTAAGTCCGGGAAAGTGAGATAGCCATCATAAGGTTAGCCTAAACAAAGAAAGTCCGGGAAAGTGAGACAACCATCTTAAGCTAGCCTCAGGCTATTTCTCTCTGAAGACCTAAAAGAACTATACTTTATCTGACTTCTGTTGTTAAAGTTAAAGGTTAGGATAAACAGAGGAGTAAAACCTTTCTCTTCTGTGTACTCCATTAAATTTCCGAGAAACAGGCTCCATGACTGTTTTCTTATGGTTTTGGAGACCCCGCAGTTACGATGGAGTATTTTACTCGACATCATTACGATGGAGTTTTTCTTTTTACTCACATCAACCTTTGAGTCATGTCCTCTGCACAGATGGGCTGTTTCAACCCTTCCAAAGTTTTTCATACTGTTCTTAAACTTTGTGTTACAAACTCCAGAAAAATCCATTGGGCTGTCCCCACAGTCAGATAACAGGCAGCAACTGAACTTGGGGAAAAGGCAGCAGGGCTGAGGACAGGTCCTTGCTATTCTCATACACCAGGCACCTCCCAGCTACACGCACTCCCTTCCTGCGGTGCCCTCACCTGCTCACGCTTCAGTCCCCTGAGATTTATCCTTGGCACTGCATTTGATCTCAATACCCCAGCCCACTTCTCTCCCTTGCCCACTCTCCTAACCCCCTCATGTGGCAGGAAGTTTTGTCTGTTGTGATCACTGCTCTGTCCTTGGTCCCTAGAGGAGGACTTGGCACAGTGTGGATGTTTCATAAGTATCTGTTGAAGGAATGAATGACTGAACCCAGGCTCCTGTGGACAAGGCCTGGCTTCTGAGAACCAGGTCACACCCTGTTCTTCTCTGCCTCAATTTTTTGTTTATGAAATGGGTGTGATCACAAGGCTGTTGGAGCGCTTTAATGAGCTTGTGCTCATTATAAACCCGTAGTGGAGAAGCCAGTGTATGTCTACTGAGTGGTCATGGTGGCCAAGCCTGTACGTGAGACCTCGTCCTGACCACAGGGCTATGAGAAGAAGGAAGGAAAGCAAATCATGAATAAGGAAAACATGGGAAAGAAACAGACCTCCATCTTACTGAAGGGGGGGCCAAAGTTATAGACCCAGATACCTGGGGAAGGGAAGCTGGCCGGGCAGGTAACAAGTGGAACCAGTAAGTAGAACAAACCCTGGCAGACCAAGGAGGTGGTGCCTGTCCCCAGCCACTGCTCAGCTCCATTTTACAGCTGCCATGTGGAATTCCTGCCCTTGCTGTCAAGGTCTTCCTTTTCTTAGAGCAAGGCCAAAGTTCAGGATCAATCTATGGGCCAGATGCAGCTCCGTGGCCCACAAGATGAGCGCAAGCTCCTTCAATGTGCGGGAAGGCAGGTGCGAACTTGTTACTCACCAACCACCCTCCCCCTCCCTGCTTCTACCAATTCCATTATTTTATCGACCAGTATCCATGAGCACCTAGTGTCGGGGGTACAGTTGTGAGTGACATTGAGACGACTGTGGCCTCCTAGAGCTCCTGGTCTAGTGGAGGGACAAGCTGATGCAATGATTCCTCAGGTGAAGAGTATGGGTGCTGAGTGCTACGGAGCTGGAGGGATACAGTGCTATGAGTGCCTGTAATGAATCCAAGGCTTCTCTGGGTTAGGATGTGACTATTGAGATTTGCGAGAGTGGTGAGTACATTTACTGAGTGAAAAGGAAGGCGAGCAGACAGGGGCAGTGGAATGTGTGAGGGCCTGTGTGTGGCTCCAGTGCTCCAGTGTTGCTAGAGCAGAGAGAGTTAGGGTCAGAGTAACGGGAGAGGGGAGTGAGTTGCCCACAGGGACATCATCATGCAGGGGCATTAGGCAGGTGAAAGGTGTTTGTCTTTATCTTCAGTGCAGGGGGAAGAAAATGAAATATTTTAACAAGAAAGTAAGGATGTGATAATTTTTGCATTTTGATCATTCTTGATTGCCTTGGGGAGAATAGATTTTGGGGAGGAGTACAGAGCAGAAGTGAGAGACCAGTTTAGACGTGGATTAGCAGCAGCCTGGGCCCTGTGGCAGAAGAGCCCTGCTGGCAGCAGTGGGGATCTAGCATGTCAGTCTGTCAGTCTGTGGGCTGGTGTGGGAAGCTGGCTGCATTGGCCTGTTCCCGATAGGATGCTCCTGTCATCTGGAAGTGATGCCAGGGCAAAGAAAGCTCTGAAAGGCATTTCCCCCGTTCCTTTGCCTGCAGGGAGGAAGAGCAGGGGTCAGTCTGGTGGGAGGCTTCCAGCCCAGATGTCCCTGCCTCTCCCAGCTTGAACTGGAGGTGGTTCCTTTACTATGTTGGTTTAGGAGTAGACTAAGTGCAAGAAATACTTGGGAAGGGTAAGGATTATTTATTTTGACAAGGGAGAGCCATGGATAATTGATTCAGGGAGATAAAAATAAAGAAAAGTGGTCATCTGTTGACAGAAGCTATAATAGCTAAAAAGGTATTTATAGCTACTCTCCACTGAGGTTAGCTCAGAAGACTTGAGCAAAACTTTTGGTGGAATCTTCCACACCAAACACCGGGAAAAGAAAGAATATGAGGATATGAACTATCTGTCCCTGTCCAGTAACAACTGGTAAAACCAGTCAACCCAGAGCTTCTGCTCCAGCTGGCTCCTTGTCAACTAAGGGGGTGTGTCTGGTTGTAAGAAATTAGAATCAAATTTGACCCAACCTCAGGCAAATACGTTGAGAAATGCAGCTTACCCCCAAGGAAGCCTAGGAGTAGTCATTGATTGGGTGGTCAAAGGTTAAGTCCTGGGAGAATGTACCCTAGAAACTTCTGAAGTGGGATTGGCAAACTTTTTCTGCAAAGGACTAGATAGTAAATATTATTTTAGCCTATGTGGGCTGGGAGGCAAAACTGAGAATTTTATGTTGGCACTTCTGAAATCACTTACAATGTAACTGTTTAAAATGGTAAAAATCCATTCTTGGCTCACTGGCTGTATAAAAGGAGGCAGCAGGTCAAATTTGGCCCAAGCTCTCCTGACCGCTGTGTGAAAGGCTGGTCGGAGGCACTAATTTCCAAACCAAACACCTGCTTCTGGTTGTTCAGTTTCACAGACATGCACAGTCTAATGGAGCTTTCTTTGGTGGGAGAGACTGGAAGGAAGGAGGGAGGGAAGGGAGTGCTAGCCTGGGCTCTAGGGCAGAGATAGGGTGATAGAAGGTGAGAAGACACTAATTGGTGACAGCTTTCTTCCTGGATGATTGCGTGGCCTCGGTGATTTGTTTTGTTTTGTTTTGCTTTTGTGGCCAAGATGAGTCTGTTGGGGAAATGTCACCCTAATGATTAACCCCATGGACTCAGCCTATTCGGACAAGTTCATCCTTGGCTTCTATTCATCTTCCCTGCAAAAAATACCCAGTTTGTCCAGGATTTCTGCCCTCTACAGACATCAAATTTCAAGGACATTTCTCTGTCACTATTGTCTGTGTGACTACGAGCAAGTTGCTTCTCTGAGCCTCAGTTTTCTAATCTATAAAATAAAGGTCATCACTCCAGCTGCCTCCGTGGGGCTCTGGGAGGATAAAGGAAATACTGTATGTGAAACACACCCAACAACTGTTACCTGTGCCCAATATCATTCTTTTTTCTCCTTTCCTTCTCACTGCTCACTGCTGATTTGCTTTGTTCTGTTCTTCCCTTGGTAAGGCTGGAAAAGAGGAACAGGAGGGTGTGGAAGAAAGCCCCCAGTCTGTAGACAGACGGGAGAAAGAAACAGAGTCCTCTGGTCTGGAAAACACAGGGACAAAGAAGGTAAAGTTTCAGATTCTGGCCATGTAGACACGTCTGCACTTGAGCCATCAGGGACTGAGTCCCCATCCTGCCCGGTCATGTTCTGTTGCAGGGAATGTGTCTGAGCCTCCATGGTGGTTCCATGAATGAACCACTCCTCCTAGCACTTCTTGGAGGAATGGCTTTGCTTGGGATTTTCGGACGATCTTTACTGAGGGCTCTGCCTCACTCTCCAGCAACTTGGCTGTGCTCCTAAGAGAAAAACATGTGCCCAAAAAAAGACTCAGGCTTCAGAGCCAGACTCCCAAAATAGAGAGGTCCCTTGGGGGGTGGGGATACACTGCTTTGAGTACTCGAGCTGGGCCCTGACCTTGGCAGGCCCAGACCCCAGGATTAACAAGACATCTACTGTGCTTGGAAAGCTTATTTTACTTAGTTACAATAAAATTAAAAACCCAATTACAGTCCTCCTGGGCTGGGGCTGCCATAGCAAAAAGAAATGTCCTTGGAACATGGCCAGCTTTGTGCCTGTCTGGTCAGGGGAGATGGGTATCACTGGCAGGGAAGCTGATCTCCTAAATCTGTCTGCAGTGTCTGTGGGCTGCAGGGAACACCAAGAGGAAAGTTTAAGGAAGGGCCTAGTAGGAACCTTGGCTATGGAAGTGAACCCTCGTCAGGAGAGGGTGCTTGGGAGAGTTTGGTGAGGAACTTCACTGCAGTTACATTTACGAAATAGCCCAGTAAGAATTTAAAGTTTGGGCTCGGCGCCTATAGCTCAGCCGGCTAAGGCGCCAGCCACGTACACCTAGGGTGGTGGGTTCGAATCCCCAGCCCGGACCCGCCAGACAACAATGATGGCTGCAACCAAAAAATAGCCGGGCGTTGGGGCAGGCGCCTGTGGTCCCAGCTGCTTGGGAGGCAGAGGCAGGAGACTCGCTTGAGCCCAGGAGTTGGAGGTTGCTGTGAGCTGTAATGCCACGGCACTCTGCCCAGGGGGACAGCTTGAGGCTCTGTCTCTAAAAAAAAAAAAAAAAAAAAAAAAGAATTTAAAGTTTGTAATGTAATCATTCATTCAAAAACTATTTCTCGAGTACCTGTTATCCAGCAGGAGTTGAAATTTTTTGTGGCACTTTAAACATGGTGGATGAATCACGAGAGCTTATTCCCATGTCCTGTGCTGATTTGAGTATCACCCTAAGGGTGATGAGTCAGTGGTGTGGGACTTGAGTAGCTTGTGGTAATTGTCCACTGGTTGTTCGCAGGTAGAGGTGAATCTGCTCAGGATCTTTCTGCTTTGGGTGGGTCCTACTGGTCAAGGTTTGTGTCTTCTGGGGGAGTACTCTCAGCCACCCTCTGACCTCCCTTCTGTGTTTTTGTACAGGAGCAAGACTGGGAGAGTGGAAGTGAGGCAGAGGGGGAGAGCTGGTATCCCACGAACATGGAGGAGCTGGTCACAGTGGACGAGGTTGGGGAGGAAGAAGATTTTATTATGGAACCAGACATCCCAGAGCTGGAAGAAACTGTGCCCATTGACGAGAAAGACAATCTCTGCCCAGAAATATGTCCCTGTGTGACGACCACCTTAGAGTTCACCAAGGAAGGAGTCAAGGCCATGGGGAATGGGGCTGCAGAAATCAGCCTCAGATCACCCAGAGAACTGCCTCCCATTTCCACAAACTGTCCCAGTGACATGGACGTGGAAATGCCTGGCCTAAATCTGGATGCTGAGCGGAAGCCAGCTGAAAGTGAGACAGGCCTCTCCCTGGAGGGTTCAGATTGCTACGAGAAGGAGGCACAGGGAGTGGAGAGCTCAGATATTCATCTGGCCCCTGCAGTCCCACAAATGTCTTCCCCCAAGCCAGCAGAGGAAGAGAGGGCCCTGCAGCCTAGCCCATTTCTTGAGGACTGCAAGGCCAGGGGGACTCCCGAAGATGGGGCTTGTGAAGGCAGCCCCCTGGAGGAGAAAGCCAGCCCCCGCAACGAGGCCAACATCCAAAGCCAGGCTTGCGAAGAAGTGACCCCCGGTAACTACTTCATCTCTTCTCCTGGGTGGTGGGGTTGATTGGACCCCTGTGCACCTAACAAAGTATAGGTGCGTGCAGGCTGGAAGGAATACAAGGCAGGTTTCACTAGGCATTGAAGATGGTATGGGAAGTAACTTACTAACAGAGGCAAGGCTCTAAAAGCCTGGTTAAACTGTTAGTGCTTTTAAGTAAACGGTGCAAAAGAAATCAGATGGGTGGCCGCATGTTTTCTGAGAAACAAACTCAGATAGAACAGACTTCTCTGCACTTATAAAAGCCCACATGGACTTGGACAACTAAAAATAGCCTGAGTTATCAGCAAAAGCATATCAGAAGGGGCCTGTTATGGGCTGCGGAGGAGGACCACCCAGGCTGTTATTTCTGTGATGAGGCAGGGGTGTGGGAGGCAGGAAGGGAACAGACAGGGAGGAACAGGGGCTCCCCAACGGGTATGGCTCTTCCCATTCTTACAACCTCAGACCCATTTTTCTCTAGGGTCTGACAGTAGTATGGGATCGGTCCCACAATCTCCTCCGCCTCCACTGGAGGTGATGTTGTGTCTGTGCCCATTGCTGTGACATCATGAGAGAGAGTTTAAAATAGGCTAAGCCCCATCTTCTCTGCCAAGTGGAAACTAAGATCCAGCAAGAGCTATGGGGGTGGGGAGGGAGAGTAGCCCTATGATCTTCACTGTGTAAATAGCTAGAAATGTACTTTGCAGAAAGAAAGTCTGCAGCATACCGGATGTTGGAGGAAGGAGGCAGAGGGCAGAAATTACAGAGGGGGGCTTGAAAATGACATTTCAACCCAGAGCCCTGTATGTGGCACAGGCTGTTAGGTAACTTGGAAGCTTGGGTTTTGCATGTCAAGCTGACCTGAGCTGTTTTCCACCTGCATGGATATGAATCTCCATGGAAACCCTGCCGTGAACCGCCTTCTTGCTACTGGAAAAGTGCTGACGTTGTCTAGAGCAGGCAAGAATGAAGGAGGAATGAAATTTTCACCTGATTCTGAGTGAACATCTTTTATTTGCAGTATAGGTCTCAACATGTGCCGATGTGTTAGTGGCTTATTAGCTTACCCTGTGTTTGGGGTTCATATTTAATAACACTGCTTGACAAGCTTGGGTGAGAATGACATTGCCTTTTTGCCAACCTCAGCGAACAACAGTGCAATTTTTGCCCATCCACAATTCCTCTGCCCACAGAGGGGAATGATCCTGAATTGGAAGGCAGGAGCCAGGGGTGGATCATCCCAAGTGAGGGCATCAGCAGCCCATTCCCCCCTGGACCGAATGCAAAGATTTGCCAAGTTTTATTGTGTGTGGCATTCTTTCGGCAGTGGAAAAAGCTCTTAATTATAGTGCTTTCATTCTAATTAGCAGTCATTGCCCCAGCCTCATGTTGATGAAGCCGTCCAAAGGACAATTTCTTTCTTTTTTTTTTTTTTTTTTTTTGAGATGGAGCCTCAAGCTGTCCCCCTGGGTAGAGTGCCATGGCATCACGCTCACAGCAACCTCCAACTCCTGGGCTCAAGCGAGTCTCCTGCCTCCGCCTCCCAAGTAGCTGGGACTACAGGTGCCCACCACAACGCCTGGCCATTTTTTGGTTGCAGCCATCATTGTTGTTTGGCGGGCCCGGGCTGGGGATTCGAACCTGCCACCTTAGGTGTATGTGGCTGGCGCCTTAGCCGCTTGAGCCACAGGCGCCAAGCCCAAAGGACAATTTCTAATCACCCAGTGCAGGGAATCGAATTGCAAGGACTCTTTGAAGCATGTTGCATTTCATTATTTCTTCGCCTTGGCTCATGTTTTGCAGAAAACTCCAGGTACATGGAAGTGAAATCTCTGGATGCAAGATCACCAGAATACACTGAAGTGGAACTGAAACAGCCCCTTTCTTTGCCTTCCTGGGAGCCAGAGGACGTGTTCAGTGAACTTAGCATTCCTCTAGGTAGGTGAAATACACAGCATACTTCCACAGTTGCCCCAGGAAGTGAAAGTTCCACAGCAACATCTAAGAGCTTGAGAGGGCTTTTTATCATTTTGCTGTTGTTGTCGTGGTTTTTAATGTGTGATGTAATAACGTGGATGTGCAAGGTGCAACTTTAAAGTTTCTTGCAACTTCTGCCTCCCATAGTAGACTAGACACTCCATGGGATCAGGCCTTGAACGGCACTGCCTGGGGACCCAGAGGCCTGCTTTTCCATCAGAGAACGCTTTATTTTCTATGTCACAGAGCCTTGAAGTCCAGCCTTTATTCAAGCAGGGAAGCAGAGATCCAACTGCCTCCATAAAGTCAGCAGAAAGGCTCCTCTTCTGCTACTTCTCATTGTCCCAGCCTCTCTTTACCCTGGCCCTTCCCAGAACAATGCTACATTTTTTCTGTTTAAAGGAGCAGCTTTTTGAGGCAACAATGTTGAATAGACTGTTTGGGGAAAAAAACCTTGATAATTGATAGAGGAACATTAAACAGAGAAAGTCCTGGGTCTTGTCCTTCCTATTCCATTTATGGGTCACCATGTGCCCTCAGACCAGTTGTACCCCTTCTTGGGCCTTAGTTTCCTAATCTGTAATATGGAATTGGACCAGATCAGTAATTTTTCAAGGATGGCAGTGCTAGGGGTGGAACAGGGAGGGAATTTACCAACAGAATTACCTAGAACACATTTTCAGAGAAAAGAGTTAAGCAAAGTCTTGGAATAAGAGAGTAAAGGTACTTTAAGAAAGTTTCCTGGGAGATTCTGACACCACCATAAACCCAGCAACTCCCACTCCAGCCTGTATCCTCTTCGAGCGTTTGTATTAGCTCTGAAAAGTTGGAAAGCAGTGAGATGAAGCAGTAGTAGCAGCTGCTCAGAAAAAGAGCTTAGGAAAGTGTCCCTTGGGAAAGCGTCACAAGGGAGCATGAGAAGCATCAGTCATCTGATGACCAGTGGTCACGTGTCTGTTCATCTAGGGAGGGGCTCGTCAGTGTTGGAGGCCCACACTTTCCTTCCATGGAAAGTTTGTTATTTTTAATTATTGTTATTATTTATTGTTAGTGTTCTTCTCCTTTAAAAAAAATCTTACTGTTTCTTCCCTTGTCGTGTACCATTTTTGTAGAGTCAGATTTGGAGAGCAAACTTCATTTTTTGTTTTCTTTTTAAGGGATAAATTTGCTGCACAGCATTTCCCAAGACATAAACTAAAAAAAAAAAAATACTGACCTTAGAATGAACTGAGATAAACTGGGTGTTTTAACTTTGGAGAACAGTTGCAAAGGCTGACTTGCAGAAGAAGGGAGGGGTCTTTTGTGCATTCAGTCAGCAGATGCTTTACTGGATAACATGCTAGGCTCTCTGGAGGAGCCAAGAGATAGAACACAAGTCTCTTGTCATTCAGGAACTAGCAATCTAATCAATGCAAGAAAAAATTAAGAATACATTCTGTTACTTTTTAATTTGTGTCTTTTTCTTACTCTTTTTCATAGTAGAAAGTATGAAAGTACTGTAACAAATTCCAAAAAAATAAGAACTACATAAAATCAATGTTAAAGGTCTTAATCTCTTCCACCCAGTTTCCCCCTTGCCTAAGGAGGTAGCCACTGTCTTGCCCACAGATAGTTTTACTCCCACAAAAATAGCATCACTCAATACATATAATGTTCTGCAGTTTGCTTCTTTTCATGTCAGCATGTAGAGAACACATTCTTTTTAACCACTGCAAATATTCCAGCTTAAAACCTCTGCCATAAATTGCTGATCATTTTCTCTACTGGTTAATGTTTAGATTGTCTTCTGTCCCTCCCCCCCCCCCGAAAGTGCTATAATAGCTAAGCTTTTATTGGTAACATTCACCAGGCAAAGCACCACTCCTATTGCTTTGCAAGGATTATTTCATTTAACCCTCTCAAAACACTTAGGGACATGGTATTTTTATCCCCATTTACAGATAAGGAATCTGAGATGCAAAGTCACAAAGGAAAGAACTGGCAAAGAACAGAGTTGGGGTTTGAACCCAAGTAGTCTGAGTCCAGCGCAGTGTCCCTACCCTCTACCCTCTGCTGCTTTCCAGGCCTGCCTGTCCAGTTACCTTTGTGTGTGTTCCAGTGTTTTTGTGGGACAGCGTCTTAGCCAGAAGGGTTGTGTATTTTGCATATTAAATTTTCATAATTGCTACTAAATTGTACCCCCAAAAGATAGTGGCAGTTTTCACTGCTACCTGGAGTGAGAGTTCCTGTTCTCCACCTCCTTGCCAACATTGCAGGTTAGCAGTTTTTAATCTTTGCCAACCTATTAGGAGGAAAATGGTATCTCATTTTGTTTTTTAAAAACAGCTACATTGAGGTATAGTTGATGTATAATGAAGTACACATATTTAAAGTACACAGTTTGAAAAGTTCTGACTTATGTATGTACCGGTGAGACCCTTAGCACAATCAATCGAATGAACATGTTTATCACCCCCTAAATGTCCTCAATCTCTTTTGTAACCTGTCCCTCCCTACACCTCAATCCCCAGGTAACCACCCATCTTCCTGTCACTAAATATTAGTTTGCATCTTCTGGAGTTTTATATAATAGGAATTATGTAGCATGCACTGGTATGCCTGGTTTTGCATTCAGTGTAACTGAGATTCATCTGTCTTGTTGGATATGTGAATAGTTCTTTTTTTATAGTTAAGGAGTATCACTTAACTGGGACATGTACTATGTACCACAATCTGTTTTTCATCTACTTGTTGATAGATATTTGGGTTGTTTTCTGTGTGGGGCTTTTATAGAACGTCCTTGTGTGAAGTCTTCAGTTAGCTTTGGCACCTATTATCTCATTGGTCCCCTAGAAAGGAGTCTGGTACTAATTTGACAGAGAGGGAAACTGAAGTCTGGAGATTTACCCAAGATGACACAGCAAGGCCAGGTTGGAACTCATGATTTCTGATCTCAGACCACTCTGCTGTCCTATTCCTCCAATCCAGTAGCAGAGGATAGGAAAGGCAATTTTTGTGCACAAGAGCACAGACTGTGGAATCTGATTCCCTGGGCTTAAATCCCTCTCTACTACTTGCTGGCTAGAGGACAAGGAGACACTTATTTAACTCTAATTCTCTGCTTGGGTTTCTCCATCTGTATGTCAGGGAGAGTAACAGAAGCCTACTATGCAGGGTTATTTTGAGAATGAAATCAACCAATACCTATAAGGTCTTAGTGCCTTCCAGTAGGAGGTACTTAATAAGGGTTGTCTATTGTTATTCATTCATGAAATATGTATGGAGTTCTACTGTGATCCTCTTATCAGGGCTGCATAACTCTTCACCCTCCAGGACTGATCACTACTGGCAGGGGAGACCAGTAGTGGGAGGTGAGAGACAATCTTTGGGCTCTGTCCCTGTGAAGAGCAGGGCAGTGAAATGAGGTGTGCCAAGCACTGGGAACCTCATTGGGATGAAAGGGAGGCCATTTCTGTTGCTCAGGGACTGAGGGTGGGCATGGTCAGGGAAGGGCACCAGCCCAGTGACTCAGGCCACCTCTGCATGACCCTAGCCAGCGGGAGCCTGCCCAGGCCTGCTGTTACCCGGACTAAACAGTATCACCTACAAAACACAAGCTCCCTCCTCTATCCATCCCAGGCTTTACTAGAGTGAGAGTTATAATAACCTGTACCAGGAACTATTATTAGAAGGCAAATGCAGCTTTAATGATCGCAATAGAGGCTGAAAAATGGGAGGACCCAGTAGCTCCAGAACACGTCAGGGCCGTAGCAGTCTGTCTTGATGCTGCTGCTTCAGGTCCCCCTCATGCTCCAGAGGCGTCCCGAGTGGTGGTGTGGGCACCATGGTGCCCCCAGGCACACCCCAGTTGCCAGCCGTTTGGGGATTCTTCCTGCCCAGGCTTCTATTCTCCCCCTTCTCTCTTCTCCCCCCTCTCTCTTCTCTGCTATCTTGCGGCTGCCTGGTACTGCCCAAACCTGCTGGGCAGGAGCCAGGGAAGAAAGTTGCTGCCAAACTGTGGAGCCAGGTTCTCAAGGAGGCTTTAGGGAAAGGTTGGGGGGCCAGGAAAGAAGGGCAACACTTAGGCAGTTGGCTTCTATGAAGAAATATTTAACGCATGTTAAACTAAAACAATATTTTTTGAGCACTGGGAAAAATGATAGGTGCTTCCCTGTAACACCATTTGTGGCATTATTCCTATTCCACAGATGAGGAAACTAATCTCAGAGAGGTTGAATTGTGTGTCTGAGGTCACACAGCATAAGTAAAAGAGCTGGGTCTGATGCTAGATTCCATTTTCTCTCCACTCTACCCTTGCTTCCAAGATTCATTTTTTTTCTGGCAGTAGAAGTCTTTGTTCGGGTGAAATCTCGCCTGGAACCCCACAGATGGTAGTTTTACTGCTGAGGTTGAAAGGGGCTGCAATTGCCAGCTCAGTCCCTGCTTCAGGCTCTGAGGTGGCTCCTGAGATAGCTGCACTCCTTCTGGGGGGTCTCACGACAGGGCCTAGGAAGCCTCAGCTGGGTCTTCAGTGAAAACCCCAGGGCTACTTTCCTGGTACACACCAGGGGCTGATCCTTTAGGGTCTGGGAAGGGACAGAGGGTGCAGCTCTTATCAAAGCCCTCCAGGGGAGCATCTCCTCTGCCAGGCACCTCTCTCCTGTATTGTGTGGGCCTCAGCTCCCTGCAGAGCAGCGGCCAGTGGAAAACCATTTTGCAGCAACAGAGGAAAGAGGCAGGCCTTGCCGATTACACCCTTGCCAACAACAGCCAGGAGCCAGGGCCTGCTGGTGAGGTGGAGGGGAGAACTGGCCTCCCACAGGCCAAGCTGTGGCTACCCTTCCATCCTTTGCAAAAAGGAGGGAAAGGACATTCAGCTGGACCTGAGTGAGGCCCCTCACTTCTGGGGACTGCCACCAGCTACTGGGGCACGCATGAGGCATGCTACGTGGCAGTTTAAGAAAACCAGTCCGAGGAGGCTGCCTTGGGCCCCAGACCATAGCCCAGCAACCCTCTGGGCTGGCTGCAGGCTTGGGCAGGCCTCCAGCCCTCCCTCTCTCCCTCCTCCCGCCCTCTCTTGGAGCTGCCCTTCACAATGATAAGCTGCTGGGTTTGTTTTTTTTTTAAATGAAAAAAAGTTCTGATTACAAGTCTAGGCTGCTTTTCTATGACAGGGTCTTCCAGGCACTTAGCTCAGTGCCTCAGGAGGTGAGAGGAGGAAAGTGAAGGAGGAGGAGAGGTGGGCTTGTGGTTGGCCCTGCAGTCCCTTGCAGGGCCACCATCCCATGTCCCTCCCTGTGAGAAGCTACTGTTCCCCTACTTGTGCCGTTCGAGATCCCCTCTCTCCTTCTGTCTAGCCAGGGTTGCTCACCCCTAGCAGCCCGGCTGAGCCAAGCTTCAGTGTCCCTGCTCACATGCAGGTCCCAGCCTGCTCATGACATCTGGGTGTTCGGGACATCAGCCCCTCTCATTTAGCTGCATTATGGGCACTGCTTTTCACAGCCCTCATATCCCTGTGCCTTGGCTCAAGCTTCACTGTTAAATACCCACTGAGCAGAGCTTGTGTTCTTTGTAACTCTATTCTCTGACTCTCCCAGTTGTGGCCTAGACCCTCTCAGATGGGGCTCTTTAAACTCTGCTGTCTGACCATGTCTTCAAGAGGAGACCTGTGACACCCCCCCCCCCCAAAACTTCCTTCTTGGAGACTAGGCAGCCACCATCTCTTCAAAGATGAATCCTCTGGTTGTATCCACCCCAAATTCTGAGACTTATATTGAATAAATCTCAAATTAAGTGCTACTAATTGATGGCTCAGATAAAGCCTGGAGGAAGGTAGAAGAATGGTTCTGATATACATTATATGATAAAAAGGAGGATGCAACATTGCATTTGGGGTCTGATTAAAACTGCCAAAAATAAATAAATAAATAAATGACCCTATGTATAGATAAATAGTGTGGAAGAAAATGTTTGGATTGGAGTGACTCTGGGTGATTTTTTCCCCTCACTTTTATTTATTTTAAATTTTTTCTTTAATGAACATAATTCTAAAATAAACCAATGAAAATGAGAGAATTCTTCTAGAGGCCTGGTCACAACAGCTGCAGAGAGAGGTACAGTGTGGAGAAAGGAAATCCAGGGAGGGAAACGTCAGGAGCGTCAGAACCCTCCCTCCTTCCTTTGCCTGGATGCAGGTTGGCAGTAGGAGGGCTAGACCTGGCCTCCCTGAGGACAGTTGTAGGGAATGGGATTGCTAGGTACTCAGCACAGTGCGGGGACATCCCCTGCATTCACCTGCACTTGGGAATGAAGTAGGTGCTAGTCTCTTTGTGATCATTTTGCAAATGAGGAAACTGAGGCCTGGAGAGGCCAAGTAGCCAGCCAAAGTCAACAAATGCAGGGAGGAGCTCGTTCCTCCCATATTCCCCTGAAGGCTGACAGGATTCAGGGGCCTCCCACACCTTCCTAACCCTGCCTGTTTTTCCCCTGTCCTTCCCCAGGGGTGGAGTTCGTGGTTCCCAGAACTGGGTTCTATTGTAAGCTGTGTGGGCTGTTCTACACAAGCGAGGAGATGGCGAAGATAAGCCACTGTCGCAGTGCTGTCCACTATAGGAACTTGCAGGTAACCACTAGCCTTCCTTGCCCGGCACCCCCTGGGGTCCCCAGGCTCAGCATCCAGATCCTCGGCCTTGCTTGCCCTCTGTCCTAGCTCTCATCTTCCAGGCACAGGCTACTTGTGCTCCCAAAGCATAAGCAACTGTTTCCTGCTTCTGTAAGTTTCCATCTCCTTCCACCACACGGAGAACTCCTGCTCTTCCCGCAGACTTGGCTCTACCAGGCTGCTCCACACAGGGGTGCTTCCCATGTGCTCCCAGAGCATCTGTCTGGGTTGGGTTTGTCAACATCAGCCTCTCCCTAACTCCCGTTAGACCAGAGTTCACCTTGCCCATGGTTGGGGATTGCCCCTTCCCATAAAGTCTGGATGGCCCGGATGCAGATGTTTAAGTTTCTTTTCCCCTGTGCAGGTATCCTTGTTTGTTAGAATAAAAACCACAAATGTGTTCTATTTAAATGTCCATCCACACAGCAAATATGTATGACAGCTGTACTATGTACTAGACACGGTTCAAGACACTGAGGATATAGCAACAGCAGCAATGAAGCCAACAAAATCCCTGTCCATTCTAATGGAAGAAACAAGCAATAAATAAAATATATTATAAAGTACATTAAAAGGTGACATATAAAAATACTCCGTATACCATATTTCATCCAATCTAAGGTGCCATCACTTGTGAGACACAACACTATTTTTTGATAACAACAAAAAAAAGGTACAAATTAAATGGTGAGACTCCATCAACTATATAATGCATTTTGATTTCAGAGCTGTTACGTGCAGAAAAAATGTCTTAAAAATCAATGAAATATACAAATATGTTCTGTAATGGATACCTAGCTAACCTATGGTATATTAGAATATGGTTTTCCTAATCATCTTCTGGGATGAGTTTTAACAACTTAATGGAAAAGTTGGTATATTAGATGTTCAGGGCTCAGTATCTCACTGAGGACACCCCCTGTTTTTACTGTAAGGAATCTGACTAGCTGTTTGACTCACAGGTCTCAACTCAAGAAGTTCTAATCATGACTTTTCCCTAGTCCTAGGCAAGGCATTACTGTTACCATTAAATTGTCAAAATGTAATTGATCCAGTGGTTCTCAACCAGGGATATGAACCAGAATCACCTTGACATTGTTCCTAAAATACCAGTACGAGATAGGTGAGATATTCATTAGAATTGGGGCTCGGGGGTGGGGAGTACAATTATATGTAATTGGATTAAGTTCTGTAAATGATTTGAATGTGCACTCCTAGTTAAGAAACCAGGGTATAAGGTGACTATCTTGTTTTATAATTGAGGAAACTGAGGCCCAGAGAAGCTATGTGATTTGTCTAAGCCATAGAAATAGTGAATTACTAGACTTAGGATCAGATCACCTGATTCTTAATCACATTCCTCTTTTTACTTTACTAAGTTGATCTTGGAAACTGAGACCTATAATGTCATGGCCTGGGCTATCATCTGCAAGGAACTGTCATTGGCTGTGTCTAAACTCAGGTCATTTAAGCCTCTTGATTTCCCTCTGGAGAGCAGCTGCTCTCTGACTGAGACAGTCACAGGGCCCAGGCCCAGAGCCTGGCCTTTCCTGGGGTAGGGCAGTGAAGGCCTGACTTGGCCAAAGCAGGAGATTTAGACTGGGCTGCCTAAGGCAGTCCAGGCAGTCATCAGGTCTGAGGACACAATCATCCCCTTCCCCAATAAGATGAAGTCCACAGAAGGCAGGACCGACGGGGTCTTGAAGATTGCCTAGTCCTGATTTTCCCAAACCTTGGTTGGTGTACCAGCTGGAATCTTTGAAGTGCAGCTTCCTGGATCCCACACTACACTTTGCTAACTCATTCTCTTGTGGCTTTGAGAGCACACAATGTGAACAGTCTTTCCAGCAGGTTCTGATGCCTCCTTGTGAGAATCTTTTATCTCATCCAGCAGCCCTGGTGGGATTGTGTAGCACCCAAGGGGCCCACACAGCTCACGGTCACCTCAGGAGTTAGGAAGAGTTCAGACTTGCCAGGGTTTCTTACTCTAAATCCTGTGTTTTTCCCAGGCCGTGAGCTGCACTGTGTTGGGGCCTCTGGGCCAGACCCCCAGTCAGACTCCCATCTTTGCAGCAGGCCAGAACCCTTCCTGTGGTCCACATTTGAAGCAGACATTAGCTCACCCTCTCATGCTGGCCAAGTGTAGTTTAGGTTTACCTGGTGCACCTGTCAGGGAGCTGGGATCCTCCATCACAGACTTCCCAGATAGGATTTCTACCAGTGGCCCTGACTGAATGCCTCTGTCCACACAGTCTGGCTCACCCCACTCCAAGCAGCAGGTGCTGGCTGACACTAAGTCAGGCAACTTTTAAACTTAGCAGCCACCAGGAGGCCCCGAAGAGGGGGTTGGGGCCTACTCTTCCAGGCAGACAGCAGGTGGAATGAGCCTCCTCCTCTCTGAGCAACCCCTGCTGTACCCCGGGCTGTCATGGCTCTGCAAGAACCAACCCACAGAGTGATCCAGAACAACAGGTGCAGTCAGTGCTAGAGAGGAAAAGCGGGTACTTGCTTGGCCCCAGGTCCCAGGAGGAAACACACCCTTATGCCAGATGCCCATCTACTTGCCTTCCTCAACACACGGTCTCCCTCCCTGAGCCCCCAGTTAGCAGCCTTGCCACCTGGCACCCATGGTTCACCACTCTCCCAGTCAGGCTGTCCCCATCTCAGGAAGCCAACCACAGTCTTTCCTAGGAAAGAGATAGCAGACCCAGCTATCTCACGCACATCCTCACATCTGACCCTCAGAATCCTGCCAGGAGGAGGGGTGAGGAAGGCACTGTTGAGGGGTCTGAGGCCAACAGAAGAAGAGTGACTTTCCCGAAATCATGTGGCTAGTGCTGCAGATGAGAAAGGCAATGTTACTGTCTATTCTATGCCAGGCACTCTGATAAGCACTCTGTGTTGCCTCTTATTCAGTACTTATCATCATCACCCTCTCTTGATGAATGTCAGAGTATTTGACAACCTGCTGCTGAGAGCTGGAATTTGAACCTCTGACAGCAGAGAACATTGTGCTGGACCTAATCTTTCTAACTCCTAACACAGGGCATTGTCCTTGCAGCCCTGCCACAGGCAGGGGACTCCATCTGCGGCTGTAGGCTATTCCTCATCCTGTATTGCTGTGTTGACTCTGGATAGTCCAATTAGCCCAGCCTGGCTCACTGTATTTTACCAGGGTCAGTAATGTGAGTGAGTGTTTGGGGCCCATGTGGAGGCTGCCCCCAACTGTAGAACAGACAGGTCATTTTTAAATCTATCCAAAGACCTCCAGACCTCACCACCTGCTAGCTTGCCCTGACAGGGAGTCTCAGATGTCAGGCTGTGGTTTCTGTCTTACACAATTGCTATAGGCCAGCACTTGTCTTCCCCTGCCTTCCAGCTTCCCTCCTTCTGCCTTTCACATGTGGACACGCTGCCTAGAGACTGGGTTCTTTCTGGAAAACAGAGTCCTGGTGAGGATTAAGTGTATTTAGATAAGTCCACCAGTTAGAATAGTGCTTGACAGCAGATAAGGGGTTTGGAAGTGTTTGCTGTTGTAGCTGCACTTTGTACTTTTCCTACAGAGATGCGTATTACTTGTAAGCTAACATAATAAGGGGCTTCTCATGGGTTCTGTGGCCCCAGGGGGATTGGGGCAGGGCAGGGTGTCCCCCTGCCAGGCCCAGATGCTAGGAGAGTGGGCACATCCCCTTCTCCCCTCTCCTGTTGGGTCACCACTGACATGTCTTTTCCTCTGCTTCTTCTCTTGTCCCACCACAGAAGTACTTGTCCCAGCTGGCTGAGGAGGGCCTCAAGGAGACCGAGGGGGCAGGCAGCCCGAGGCCTGAGGATGGCGGGATTGTGCCACGCTTCGAAAGGAAAAAACTCTGAGGCTTCTGCTGCTGCTGGGAGGTGGGAGAGGGAGGCCTGCCCAAGTGGGGCCTTCCTGACCTCTGGGCCAGGACTGAAGCCCGAAAGGGAGGAAAGCCAGGCAGGGCATGTTGCTTGGGTCTGTTCCCAGAGACTCATTAAAACACCCCCAAAGTATCTCCAGGAGCCAAATCACCCTGGCGTGTCCAGCCCGCCGAGGGTCACCAACTCCCTGTTGACTTCAGTTTCTCTCAAGCGATTTTTCAATTTGCTTCTCTCTCCCTCCCTTCCTCCCTCCCTCCCTCCTTCCTGCTGTGCCAAGGATCATTTCCTCTTCATAAAATCCAACTTCTCAGGGATTTTCACAGTGTTTGAATTTTTGATAGGATATAACAGGTCAGGCCAGGCTGAGTCATGCAAGGAAATGTTTCATGGAAACTTCTGGGTCAAGTGAACCACTTCAGTGAATGCCTGGTGGTGTCTCTGCCTGGTGTCCCCAGGGAGAGCAGGGGAAGCCTAGTGGGACCCTGTGGTCCTGAAAAGGGGCCATCACAGACAGTTGGCAGAAGCTGAGAGTGGCTTCCTTACTTCTTTCTCCAGCTAGACTACCTTTCAGAAAAGCCCCTATTTTGAAGGACTCTTTCCTCTTTTCAACTATTGTATAAGTCTGCCAGATGTATGCCTTAATGTAAAATTAAATGAATTTTAGGGAGGATGAAAAGAACCTTTCATGGTTTTAGAAGCTCTAATAAGTTTCCTCCAAAAGTATTTCCCTCCTCTTGATTTTGGGAGATGTCAGGGTTTGTTCTGTTCTGGACAATGAATTTGGTAGAGATTCACTTTAATTAAAAGTGAAAACGGAAGCATCTTCTGCCTCCAGCTAAACCAGCAGTTGGCATGGCCTTAGATCAGGCGCTGGCCTCTGCAGCAGGTGGCACTGGCTTGAAAGGGACAATAACAAGGAAGCAGCATCTGTCCTTGCCTCAACCTTGGTGTCTGCACTCCGGGGTACAACAGCCTCACAGTGGCATGGTTTTCAAATGGTTCTTAAATGGGGGATGAAGCTAAAGAAAGAGAAGGCTTGGAGAACTGAAATGGAGCATTTGAGGGCCCTTGGGGGTTGACCCAATGCACATTCAGACTTTGATGTTAAGATGTCAGATGCCTTGTTCCCAGTGCTCAGTATGGTACTGGAGGTCAGTGCCTTCAGGCCCTTGATGGGCCGTGGGGTCTCTACCCAGACAGTCCATGGGAAGGGTGTGGGACAAAAGTGCTGGGGAAAATGAGGCTCTCCCTCAGCCACACAGCAGATCTTGGAAAGGTCAGAAAGGAGCCTGGGGCTGTTTTCAGGAGCTGAGCTACTCCCCTGAAGGTGCCTTCCATGGTTCAGCCTGGGAAAAATAAAATAAGAAAGATGGGTCATGCTCCTCTGGGCAGTTCCTGTTGTCTTGTCTGCAATCGTGACTGTGGGCAGGTGCGCTGAGGAGGGATTATCTGTGAGATTTTGTTTTCATTTTTCTTTTTATGGTAGGTCAGAGTACACAGCACATTCTTTGCACTAATGGAAGGAAGGTGGAGAGATTAACTCAATACCTTTTATGTCAGGCAACTGAGGCACAGAAAGGAAACAAATGTAGAACGTAAAATAAACCTTGAAGCATATTGTCACTGGCAAAGAGAGAACCATGGGAGTCCGTGGGAGATAAGAGTTAAGGCAAGCACAGAGGGAAACAGACCAGTCTGGACAGGCGTGGTGAGGAGAGGTTGGAAGAAACAAGAAACCTGAGCTTGTCCTGTTAAATAAGATGTATATAAGGCCTCTGGTTTGGACTGAGGGCCTGCAGTAGGCCCAACAGACCAAACCAAAATGGAGTCACTCATGCTAAGGTTTCACATCAGCAAGCCAAGACTAAGTTGGTTATCTGACCTTTCAAGAAATCAGGCGAGAGAGAGAGAGAGAAGAGCCAAATCCTCCCAAAGGCCAGTTTTCACCAACATGACAAAGAAGTCACCTCTGCTTTAACTTTTACAAGGAAAGTAACTTTGAAATGACCAGTCTGGCTTTTGTTCTCTGTGTCTCCCTCCTCAGCCCGTTTCTGTCCAAAGCCAACCTCCCCTGCTCAGCTCATGGGAACACTTGTTCTAGTTTGTAGAATGAGGTGTTGCCCAGTTCTAGAATCAAAAATAAAAGCCAATTAAGATCTTCAAATTTGTTGTAATTTTATCTTTTGACTAAGCCGTATGGGAGTATTAGGCAAGTTGGTATCTCAAATAGAATAAAGTTTGAAGATCGTGGCTCAGCCCAGATTGTTCCCCTGGCCAATTCCATAGGTTTTAACCCAGCATTCTGGACACCAGCGGTGCCTCCTCTATTTCTCAAAAAGCCCTTGGCCCCATGTGTCTTTCTTCCCACTGTGGGGAGGTCTGTGGGCAGCTCTTTGGTCTCCTATCTGAACCTTGCTGGCAAGAGCCCACATCCTCCATCAGAGCCTGGAACCATGCATTATCAGAGAGGCTGGGTGCTTTGTCTCCCAGCCAAGTGGGAACAGACCTCAGAGCTCACTTTCCTCCTCCCCCAACCCCAGCAGCATTGCCATGGAAATCCAGATGGTCTTGTTCCCTGGTAATGTAATGCCTCCCTTGCTGATAGACTGACCTTCATGCTGGAAAGCTAGAGAGAGCCCCAGGAAGGAGAGAGAAGAGGCTGTCTCTGCATTCAGTCAGAACCTTCCATTTAAAATCATCTAAGAGTCTATACTTGTATGTGTACATATATGTATTTATTTTTATTTATTTTTATACAATTCCATTGGCATGGTCCTTCACCAACCCTATAATTTGCACTTTTTATTCCTATGTGTGTCACACCCGATGCAGTATTAAAGGCAGCCAGAAAAATATTGATTTATTTTTTAAAGCGCTCCTTTGGTGTTTTGTCAGCCATTTCAAAGTGTCTCCCAGAAAAGGTTGCCCAAGAGCAGTTACTACCTTGAGCAACAGATTCATTTGTACCCTCGGTACAATATAATAAAGGCCTGTATAATTTTCTTTTCATTGTTGACACCTGAAATGAAGGATATCTAGACAATCTTCCCAAAGAATTTTGTAAATTTGACGTTGGTGTGAGCAGCAGCCATTAGTATCAGAGTTTCCCATTCTTGGACAGTCGAGGCTGTGATCTGTTCGATTATATACTTGAACTGGACCAGAGTTTGTTTTTTGAGTTTATGAGAAAAACAAAAACATTAAGTTTGACCTTGTAAAGTATCAAAATTTGTCGTGTCCTACAAATTATCACCACTTTTCCTGATCTGTATAATTGACTGCAACGTGTTTGTTTTTACAAAAGGAAAAAATAAAAATTTTTAATAAAGAGAATTTGAAAGCTTGTGAGTGATGTGTGTCATGCAGGGGTCCTCGACATTCGGCTGGGGGAAGCTCCCCAGTACAAAAAAAGGGATTTGGTCCCTCTGGCAGGGGATCAACCTTTTGGTTTCTCTGTGCCACATTGGAAGGAGAAAAGTTGTCGTGGGCTTCCCATTAAATACACAAACACTAACGAAAGCCGATAAGCAAAAAGAAAAGAAAAAATCTGTGCATAATTTTTGCAATATCTGCCACCACAGATAGCAAAAAAGTCCTCACCTAATCTGCATTTGGGGCTGCAGGTTAGACCCCTGTAGGGCTGAACAGAGAGGGTTCTGCTTAGGCTGCCAGAGACAATCAGAGGTTTTTAGGGGTAAGCTTGGAGGATAAGTCTAAGTGGGGGGTGGGGCTGCTGTTCCTTTTGGAGGCTTAGATACAAAAATCTCATGGCCTCTTATAAACCCCTAATTTTCCTACCAGTGCTCCCCAGTCTTCTGGCATCTGAACCCAGTCATCCTGTACCAGGGTTTGGCCATTTCTGGCAGTTAATCCGCTATGAAGATGAAGATCTAGTGGTCAGTGCTGTAGTGGAAACAGCAGGCCCACGCCAGTCACTGTTAATCAGCCTGCTTCCTTGGGTGTAAAATGGGATAATAGCATTAATCGCCTCCCAGGGTTGTTTTGGGTTAAGCTAATTGCTGCTAAAAGCATTTGGTATGCTGCAAGTCACCAAATCTTGTTTACTTTTGCAATCTATGCTCTGGACAGCAATTCTCCAAATTTTAGGTATTCTTAAGTTCTTTCTCAACCATTTCTTCTGGCAAAACAATGCCAGTTGGCCAGTCCTTTGTATAGACTGGAATCTTCCTGGGCCTTTCCCTCTTGTGGGCAGTGCTCCTGAGTCAACGGGGAGGGTCTGAGAAGCCTGGACCCAGAGGGCAAGGAGAGGAGCACCTGTAATTACCAGATCAGATTGCAGATCCAAGGAAATTTCCTGTGGCATCTGTCCCTACTGTCCTTCCACCCCGCTACTTCACGTGGCCATCCTTAAGCAGAGCCCAGGTCTCCAGTTCCCAACAAAGAGGGATGGGGAAACATTCTTCACTGCAGCTGCTGTTTGTGCCCAGCTGTTCAAAGCAGTGAATGGACCTAGAGCTGGTCCTGCTGCCCTAAATTCGGGATGCAGGATGCTTGAGGGTGACCCTGGTGCCTAGTTCCAACATGTTGTTCTATGTGACACAACTCCAGAGAGCACCAACCACATTGCGTCCTATAGGATGGTGCCTCTTGGTGTTGTGTACTGCAGACACTCTGCCAGGAACCGCCCTGAGTTGCAGTTGTTTCCCCATCCCTGGGTGTCCCATTTGCTCTTGGATAACCCTGTGGGCCCTGGCACCTGGTTCTGAGCCAGTCTGGTGGGCTGGAGCTGTGACACTCAGACCCACACCTCCCTTGTGTGGTCTAGACACTGGGGCTGCTTCTCACAGTGCCCCATGAGATCGGGTCACTTGGATACTGGCCTTGGCCCCAGTCTTGCCCAAGATCTCTGCCCCTTTGAACATCAGTAGCCACTATTGACTGTCTGCCTCAGCAGTGGTTGGATGGCTGGGCCCACTCCTGACAACTCCCCATTTTCTTTTCCCGTCATGATGGCCTTACAACGGCATCTATTCCAAATGAAATTCCAGGCCCCAGAGGCACCCAAGTTTTAGTCTTTTTTGAAAGTGAGCAAACAGACCCAAAGAAGGGATGTAACTTGCCTAAGGCAACACAGCTTATTAGTATAGGGCCAAGACTAGAATCCAAATCTCCTCTAGGTAGTCTTGTTGGGGCTACATGGCGAGTTTAGGCTATTTCAATTATGTTATTTCATGAATTTTCTAGGCGTAGCCCTCGCTGGACTTTGGCACTCAGCAAGGGACTCAAGACAAATCATCGATTCTCATGTTTTGGCTCCATCAGACTCATGTGGGGAGTTGGCTAGAAATTCAGATTCCCAGCCCCTTGCATGGGGATTCAGATCCACTAGGTCTTGGGGAGGCCCCTAGGCATTTGCATTTAAAACCAATCTGGGGGCTCGGCGCCTATAGCTCAACCGGCTAAGGCGCCAGCCACGTACACCAAAGGTGGCGGGTTCGAATCCCCAGCCCGGACCTGCCAAACAACAATGACGGCTGCAACCAAAAAAAAAAAAATAGCCGGGCGTTGTGGCGGGCGCCTGTGGTCCCAGCTACTTGGGAGGTGGAGGCAGGTGACTCGCTTGAGCCCAGGAGTTGGAGGTTGCTGTGAGCTGTAATGCCACGGCACTCTGCCCAGGGGGACAGCTTGAGGCTCTGTCTCAAAAAAAAAAAAAAACCAATCTGGGGTGATTCAATGCAGGCGGAGACCACTGATCACACTTTGAGAAACACTGCCCTGGATGTTGACCAAGAACTTGCCCAAAAGCTCCTAGAATAGAAGGGGGCATTTACTTTACTGGAATAGGGGCAGAAGAGATATGAACAAAGACCATTCAAGATAGCGGACATTCTTGGGTGGAAAAGACTTGACAAATGGGGGGCAGGAAAAGGACACCAGACTGGCCATGGCAGAAGGAGCTGAAGGGAAGTGCTGGTAGTTTGTGTGTGTGTGGGGTGTGTGTGTGTGTGCACGTGTGTGTATGTGTGTGTGTGTGTGTATGTCTGTGTGTGGGGGTGCATGTCACCAGATTGGGTTTGGGAGCACGTGCCATGACTTTTTAAACTGGATTCAGACTTACTGTGCTTAGGCAAAAGTCCGTTTTCTAGTGCTCTCTATATCTTCTTCAATGGCTAAAAGTGCCATGGTTACCAAAACGGCCCCTCATCTGGGGACAGCCCTGTCCCTGAGCACAGAGAGCTGTGCAGAGTCAGCAATCCTCCTGGGGAGGAGGTACAAGGAGCAGAGGCATCGCCTAGAGGCATGTCACTGTCTGTCAGAGACCCTGGGTTTACACACGTTCTCTCCCACCCTCCGTGAGCCTCTCCCAGTACTGAGATCAGTAAGGCTGATTACTGAGCTTGCCCACACGCCTCACTCTGTGTATCCTGTGTAGGGACGTGGTCCTTTGGCCTCTTCATAACCGAGAGGCAGGTGCTGTTATTCTCCATGTCACTTCAGATATAGGGAAAATGAGGCTCAGAGAGACAAAGTGGTTTGTCAAGGGTCAGCCAGCCAGGAGGCAACAGAGTGGGGATTCGAACCCAAGTACCAGGACTTTAATACCACTCTCTCAGCCACCATTCTCCACTGCCTAGCTCAGGGCAAAGGTCTTCCTACATCTCCCTAACGCCTGTAGACTCCAGGTCTGGTGAGAACAGGGGGGTAAGGTGGAAAGCCTAGTTTAGCTGCATGGGCTTAAGACTGACTTCCTGATTGTTAAATCCCAGAAACTGGCATCTGCACTATTTCTCCTTCCTAGAAAGTAGATAAAGAAAGACCCCTACCTACAACACTGGAGGAAAATAGGCAGGAAGGCCAAAGGCGGGGCAAAGAAATGCTGTTTCTTCCTTCTCCTCCAGGGAGCTGGAGCTAGGGGATAAGAGAGGATGGAGGGCCCCGGGGCTGCTCAAAACCCCTCCCGCATCAGGAAAGGAAAAAAGAGAAGCATCCTGCTTTCTGCTCTTGGAGGACTCAGGGGCACTGGGGTGTGATCAAAAGGTCTTTCCCATAGCTCCAGACTTGGCACTTTTGACTTCTTCTTCCTGAGGGAAACTTGATTGCTATTGACCTGTCAACAAGGAGTTCAGATGATGTACAACGCAGGCCATGTAGGACCAGATTAAGTCAACAGAAAAAATTTAAATTAGGACTCAAGAAGCTTTGAGGTGGCAAATATGCGATTTGTAAGGGCCGATGGAGCATGAGATGTGACTGGGAGGCTTCTGGGAGCCAAGGCCAAAGAGGAAACACGCTCCATTCCATGGGTCCCTTATCAGAATAAAGAGCATTCCAGTATATCTGGGGGAAATTGTTCTACATGACACCATATTTTAGAAGAACTCTGAGGACCTGAACATGGTGTGGCCAGGGGCACTGAGAGGTGTTGAAAAAATCCTTGGGTGGGTAGCTGACGGTCCAGAAGGCTGTGTTGAAAAGCACAGTGGGTGGGAGCCCCCTGGATGGGACATTAGGATGATCCTATCTATTTAAAGTAGTTCCTGGCTCAGGGCCTGTGGCTCAAAAGGCTAAGGCGCCAGCCTCGTACACCCAAGGTGGCGGGTTTGCATCCAGCCCGGGCCCGCCAAACAACAATGACAGCTGCAACCAGAAATAGCCAGGCGCTGTGGTGGGGGCCTGTGGTCCCATCTACTTGGGAGGCTGAGGCAGGAGACTCGCTTGAGCCCAGGATTTGGAGGTTGCTGTGAGCTGTGATGCCACGACACTCTACCCAGGGGGACAGCTGGAGGCTCTGCCTCAAAGAAAAAAAAAAAAAAAAAAGTAAAGTAGTTCCTTATATCAGAGTGACATTCCTGGTGCCCAATGGCCTTTATTCCACCTGACCAGCCCACCTGAGAGTGACTATACTGGCTTAAGTTTGGGGGATTTTTGTTGTGGTATGTTTTCAAAATCTGTTTTTCAAATATCTCCTGTCAGTTGGCTGAACTCCCAGGAACCGATGTCCCTAGGACAAGGAGGAGGCCACTGCTATCTCTACCATCTGACTTCCCTGCCACACACAACTGACAACAGAGAGTTCTGGGTGGGGCCGGTATCTGGATTGTGGGAGAAAAAAATTCTCTCCAGCATGTACTTTTTGAGGTTTCCCCCAAGGGACAACTATAGCCAGGAGGGACCCAGCCTGACAGAGAAGAAGAGCTGACCCTCTCAGGCTGAGTCTGCGATCTGTCTTTCGAATCCGCCTGAGAAGGACTGGCCTGAGGAGGAAGGGTGCAGAGCGTGCCCCCTGTTTGCCCCCTCACTCTTTCCCCCTCACTCTTTGTAAGCCTGGGAGGGAGTTTTCTGGCTCAAGGACCAGTCTCCATGCTGGGAATCAGA